CTCCTTGAGAGAACAGCCTGTGTTCACTGTTTCTACTTCCTTATCTCCTATTCCCTCCTACATCCCTTGTGATCTGGGCTCTGTTCTTACCATTCAACCAAAACTCTGTTTGCTGAGGTCACCTATGACTTCCTTACTTCTAAATGTTATCTTTATCTTATGGACTCATGTATTAGTTTGACACTGTTGATTTGTTTCACCTGGAAACTGCTTGAATATCTTCCTGGATCTTTTTCTACATCTTGTCTTTCTGCTCCTACTCAATCTTCTTCCTCCACTCATTTCCTAAGGTTGGATGCTCTCCAGGACTCTATTCTTGGTTCCTGTTTGTTTTCACTGTGCTAGTTCTCCCTGAGGAGGTTTATTCTCCTCTGTGGGCTTCAATCACCATCAGTCCACAGCTCTTTCTTGAGATCCTGAACCTCAATTCCTACTGACTAATGATGTCATCTAGTGTCCAAAAGACGCTTCAAAGCTCACCCTGTCCCAAACTGAGCTCATCTGGTTTTCCCTGACCATAGTTATGCCTTCTCCTGCATTGTCTGTTTTAATAATTACTACGAGCATCCCTTTCCCAGTTACCCCACCCAGAAAACTAGGAGTGTCTGGACTCCTTCTACATTTTATCTCAGAGGTCTGCCACTCTACTCTCTTTAACATCCTCCTCTATGGCTTTGTATCTTCTGCTTAGTTCAGGTCTCTGTCATCTCTTGCTGGCACTGATGCAACCGTTCCCTAAACTCCAGGCTCATTTCCTTCCCACCAATCTTCTACGAGACTTTTAGAGTATCCTTCTCCATCTCAAATCTGATCATGTTACTCCCCTACTCAAGGTTTCATTGGCTCCTCCACCATCATCTTCTGAGCAAATAACAAAATCAAGGCCCATCTTCCACCATGATCTGAGCCCTGCTGGCCCCACAACTTTATTTCCTGTCACTCTTCATCATCATACCGTCTAGGTTTCCACTGTAGCAAAATATTGCCTGTTCCTTGAATGTGCAATGCTAGTTTCAGGCTTCTGAGCCTTTGCAGATGTTCCCTGAACATCCTTCCTCTTAAGATAACTGGGAAACTGATGTCTGGAGACCTTTTCAAGAGTCTTCCTCTGGGAAGCTTTCCCTGATCACCCTCCCTTTGTCCCTTTCCCTCTTCTTTTATGGCTGTTGTTCATTTACTGATAATTACTGGGAGTTCCTTAAGGATGGGTCTATTTCTATGTATCTTGATGAGCCCCAGGCTGACCACTGATAACTAAGTGAGGAGAGAGAGGAGACAGAATGCTCCCTGATCAGGCCCCTCCTCACCCTGCTGAGTGAGCATCTCTTCCACAGATACCTCCCCACACAAGCCAAGCCCCAACCTGGGTGGCGACAGGTCTGCTGCTGTGGATCGGCCACTGCCAGGGTACACTGTTCATGGCTGTGTGTCCACAGAGCCTGTACTGATAAAAGCTTCAGAGCTACCACACATAGAGTGTGCTGGATGTAGTGTATATACTAAATACTACTCTAAATGCTTGCATATTAAGCACTAGATTACATAGTCTCACTTTATCCTCATGGAAACCTTTGACATAGGTATTAGTATTAGCCCTACTTTACAGAAGTAGAAACTAAAGCCCCGATCACATAGCTAGTGTTATAAATGGAGGAGCCAAGATTTTTTTTTTTTAGAGAATAGTCTAAATGGTAATTTGTTGAAGCTAGTAATTTGTTTGATAGGTACCCAGGATCTCACTATACTGTTTCCTCTGTTTTCATGTAAATTTAATAAGTTCTACAGTAAAGCATTTTTAAAAGATTGGGCTAAATCAATGTGCTTTAAAACTCCCTCCCCCACCTTTCTTTTAAGGCAATAAAACCCTTTCTTCAACCAAAATCTTGCAGAAAGGCTCCTATGTAAGTGAAATGAAAATGGATATATTCTGGGGATTTCCCTGGTGGTCCAGTGGTTGGGAATCCACCTTGGATTGCAGGGGACATGGGTTTGATACCTGGTCCGGGAAATAGGATCCCCCTTGTTGCAGAGTAGCTAAGCCCCGTGTGCCGCATCGTGCCCTCGATCCACAAACCAGAGAGCCCACACACCGCAACGCAAGATCCCACATGACACAGCGGAAATCCCGTGTGCCACAGCCAAACAAATGCATAAAAACGAACCTATTCTGGTTTCAGGGAAGCCAGACCCCCTCCTGTTGCTTTCCTCTCGCACTCAGCCCTGCCCAAGGCACAGGGTTCGGGAAACACAGTTGAATGAAAATCACTGGACCAGACTAACTCTGAAGATTCTTCTGGTACTTCTGCCTTCCTCTAGTTATATTGGTTTTGCGCTGGTCATTAGCTGATTTATTCCATCCCAGAAACAGTGAGATTGAGCTATTAATCATCTCCATAGTCTTTGGAGAATTTCCGCGCAGGGTTGTAGAAACATGGGCTGCTGCTAGAGATGCATTTCAATGTCTGTCTCTGCTGAGTGTTTATTAATAACCTTGCTAATCGCCACTCTAGTTTCTGGATCTAGCTAACTCCTGTCAGATGTCCTTGGGGGGCATTTTAAATTTTCCCTGATTTCTTCCAGCCAGATGCTTCCTTCTGCCTGGATTCCTCTCTGATACTTGTATTCATGAATATTTCACATCTAATCTCCCTGATTACATTTCCATATGGTGGTCATGGTGCATTGGCTGCACCTCCCAGGAAAGACATACAGGAAGCCCACAGTGAAGACTTGAGTTTGCAGGCACAGTGCCAGAATCTTTGTTCCCGCCTCAAAGATGGCCTTCCATCAGGGACAGTGATGGGGAAGTGCTGAATGGGACCTCGCAGTCTAGGGCTTTACATGCTGGCTCTTGGCCTACCGGGACTGGCAGTGTTACTCAGGAATCCCAGTGGCCTTAGGGAACACATGTGGGTCCCTGTGACCAGAGTCACTCAACAGCCTCCCACTCAGGCCCCATCCTTCCTGCGCTGGCCCCCTCCAGTGCTGCCACCCAGGACCTCCAGCCTGAGAGAAGACACTCTGATGGACTCATCTGCACCAAGGAGGGAAAAGTTAGCCACAAATGCCCAAGGACTTGAGTTCTTAAAGTTAACTGTGGGAGCAGGCAGAGGTGATGGGGACAGAGACAAGATGAGCCGGAGGCATAGTGTCCTGGAAGCCAGGGGAGGAAATCCTTTCCAAATGGACATGGTGTGTGTGTGACATGTGACAAACACTACAGAAAGAGGAAAGGAAATTGGAAATCTGTTGGTGCTTCCCTGGGAGGGCCCCCCAGGCACGTTGGTGGGTTTCACCTTTGAGAAACCCTCGCTCAGGCGGCCTTGGGAGAGAGCCGCCCCTGCAGCCTAGTGCTCACCGGCAGGTCTCCATGCCCCCTGCAGGCGGCACTTGCCAGGCTGTTTTGACCACAGAAAGATATGGATGGGTCACTGGAGGCCTCCTTCTCCAGGGCAGCAGGGGACAGGTGCTGCCAGTGATCAGTCTCCCAAGGAGGAGCTGAGCCAGGGAGGCAGAGGATGGATGACTTGGCAAGACCAGTGGCTTGGCAGGTTGCCTGGGAGCATGCACTGAGCCCCCAGTGCCCCCGACCTGTTCTACCCTTCTGTCCCATTCCCCTCAGTGACAGTGAAGGCTAGGAATCAGAGACGAGAACACAGGCCCGGGTTCTGCCCTCAGGAGCTCACAAACCACTGTGGCAACACAGCCCACGCAGGCCTTGCACTCTGGATGGCCTAAAGAAACACAGACAAGGCCAGGATTTCCCTCCAAAACATTCTAGACTTTTCCCTTTTCCTTTAGTGGCAAGCATGTTTTCATCCCCCACTGCTTCATTCTAAAGGGAAACTAAACCACCATAATGGCTGCATAGCCGCCCTTTAACAGTCACCAGAAGCCACTCAGATCCCTGGCCTGGCCCCACAGGGCCCATCCTCCAGCATTCTCCCTGCCTCTCTGTCTGCTCTCCGTGTCCCCAGAGGCAGAATAGGCACAGCCTTGGAGACTCTCTGCGATCCTCTGACCTAAGGCTTACCATTCTGTGATCCTAGGTGGATGGTTAGGATGGCCGCATCCTATGTCCATGGCTGGTTATCAGTTTCTCAGGGAGAGGGTGAATGACTCCTGCACCTTCCAACTGACTGAGGCAGAGTAGGACAAGGCCCTGGATCTTGTAGCAGAGATTTGGGGTGGTTCTGGAGAGAATAGTGAGGGTAAAGTAGGACTTGGGCAGCATAACACCCATAGCAATGAGAAGAAGTCAGTAAAGAGGGCAGTGAGGGAGACCAAAATGGTTCCGGACCCTGGACAATGCACAGAATGCATGCTGTCTTCTTTGTCATCTGTAAGGTCCAGCCCTGTCTGGGCAACACAGGACGAACTGGCCACCGGCTGACTTGCCATGGTCTGTCTTCTCACCTGCCATTCCCAGGTGAGAGAACCATTCAGGTTCTCTCGGGAGACACTCTTTAGGATTCATCTGAGAAATGGAGACGTTCTCACTAGAACTGCGTGGCTACAGCCTGGAAGTGTAGCCTGGCTCAGCCAGTCAGTTCTCTGGATCCTGGGAAGGGATCAGCCAAAGCTGGGGAAACAGAGGGAGAAGGCCCGTTTCAGGGAGCACCTGCTCAGATCTTAATCCAGACTTAAACTCACAGGAACCTAGAAGGATCTTTCTAAACAAGGCAGGGCCCTAAGGAGCATGGCGACTAGAATGGGAGGCAGGAGAAGGTGGTCCTGTGGGTTTAAAGAATCACAGTAGGCTTCCTGGGGGTGGCAGATGACACGGGACTTAAAGGACAGACACCCAGATGGGTGTAAATAGGGCCGAGATCCTGGGCTCTTCCACCCAGCTCCCGATCTTCCTTCCATAGTAGACGGGTCTGTCCCTCCCTTCCTGAACCCCACCTGCTGCCAGGGAGAAGCACCCACAGAGGACAGGTGAGAACAGCCCCCGTTGCTCACCTCCTAACAGCTCCCTGTCTCCCTGCTTTCTCCCCCAGGACCCAGCCGCCGCCTCCATCTCAGACGGAGACTGTGACGCCCGGGAGGGTGAGTCAGTAGCCATGAATTACAAACCATCCCCGCTCCAAGTGAAGCTGGGTGAGTGTGTCTGGGGGGTGAGGGAGATGTTGGGCGTGGACAGGCAAGGTGCGCTGGGCTGGGTCTGCAAAGAGGTACAGCTCAGGCTAGACAATTCCAAGCCTCTAGCCACCAAGTCAATGGCACCGCCCGTAACCTTCTCTCCTGCAAGGCCAAGAGGGAGGTGATAGTTCTCTACAGGAGCCCAGAGCTCTAGAGGCATCTCTGGTGCCCAGAAGGCTCCAGATGTTCTGGGGCATAGCTACAGGAACCCCAGAGAGAGGGTCAGAAGCCCCATCAAACACTGGACCAGGATGAGAGGAAGCTGCCTTAGAAGTGGGCATCAGTTCCTGTGTCTGAGGGGAGAAAGGAGTGAGGCTTCCAAAGCCTAGAACCTGGCTCCTCTCCCCTAGAAGCTGAGCCCCGCTCCCCCTTCCTAGTCAGCCTATCTGGATATCTCCGGATCTTGTTGGCTCCTGTTTGGAGGAACTTTCCCTTAGTTTCTTAATAAACCCAAACCTCTCCTGACTTCCCAGGGTCACCCTGCCCTTGTGGGTTTATCTCACGTCCACTCCAAAGTCAGTTTATGCTGCCGCCCGCTCCTTTGAGCCGCCTCTCTCCCAGGCACTGCCCAGAGCCCCTGCAGCTGCTGCGCTCACCTTACCTCCCCCCAAACACCCCCCCTCCCTCAGGGACCATCTCACTCACCCAAGGCTGCCATGCATAACAGACTTCTAATTTTAAAAACTGGTTTCAGGAATTCCCTGGTGGCCCAGTGGTTAGGACACTTCATTTCCACTGCCGAGGGCCTGGGTTCAATCCCCAGTCAGGGAACTAAGATCCCACAGGCCATGAGGTGCAGCCATCACTAAATAAATAAAAAGTTTGTTTTCACAAGTGAAAATATAGCTAACACAGTGCATCCAGGAAAGAGTTAACAATTAAATGCAGGCCACGACCATCCTTCAGAACTTCTCTGCCATCCCGGCCACACTCCTGCTCATCTTTCCCCAGGCTCCAACTGCCCATCAAATACTGGGCCCTCTCCTTTGTCCTGAGAAATCTGTTTCAAAACCTTGCTCTGCAGCTGCCAGGACACCTTTTCAGAGTCCTGTTACATTATTCAGCTTTTCCCTTTTCCTTTTAACTTGCTTCTCTCCTCCCAGACCAAATCCAGGGAGCCCCTCAGGCTGTTTTTCTAAACAAGAGAGCAGTCCTCTCAGTAGAATTTGTTCATCTTCCCAGGACAGGACACTGGACTCAAACTGCAGCCAGTTTCATTTGCTTATTATTGTTTAATTTAACAACACAAATATTTAACAAGTATAATTTCTTTACTCTTCCCCATCATTTTCTCCTCCCCAGAGATGATTCATTCCAAGAGTTTTGCTTTTGGTTTTTAGTTTTTTTCTAGTTTTATTTTGTATTTGAACACAAGTGGTATCATACTGTCCACATTTTCTGAAGCTTTTTTCTTTTATGTTTTCTGATTGATGTCTTAGAACCCCTTCTAATATCAGTATATAGAGAATGACTTCTTTTAATAGTTGCATTGTAGTCTGTAGTTTGCTTTTGCAGTTTATTAGCATTTTTTCACTGTTTCAAACAATTCCAACATGCTTTTAAAAACAACACTTTCCCCCCCTGACCATTGTATTACCACAGCTCCTCTAGAAAAATCCACAGCCTTAGCCTCGGTGCACTGAGACTTCCCACCAGGAACTTACAAGGCAAATTGCACCCTCTAGAGGCCTGGGGTGGTAATGGCAGCTGCTGCCTGCAGGAAAGGAGGTGAAGGTGGGTTTGAGGGCGTGAGATAGATGAGCAGTGATAAAGAAAGAGCGTTAGAGAGTGGGAGATGAGAGACATGGAGGTCGAGAAAATTCCAGAGTCCCAGTAGCTATAAATGCCCATCCCATCCTTCCTCTCTGGAACTTGTTGTTTTATGAGAGCTTTCCCCTGGCAGTCCTTTTGCCAGTATCAGAGCTGCCGTGAGAGGAGGAATGGGCAGACAGGCCTCCTGTAGGGCCCAGGCAGAACCCGACTACTGGCAACAGAGCCACACACCAGGCAGTGGGTCCCTTGGTCACCAGTCCCATGAATCTGGTAGGTTCTAGAGCCTCGGAGAATCCATAGGCTGACCGAGGAGTCAGAAGTAGTCTCGGCAGAGGGCCCCCCAGCCTGCTGCCCCTCCTGCTCCACAATCTTCAGTGGCTTCTTTTCCTTTCCATTAAGCCCAGACTCCTCTGCTTGGCATTCGAGGCCTTCATGCTCCAAGTCTGTAATTAGAGGGGGCCCCCAGTCCCTTGTGCACAGGACCTGATACATGACTGACGAAACAGATGTTTGCTGAATAAATAAATCACTGAAGAAATGTATCCAACTTTTCTAACCCGACCTTCCTCCATCTTCGTCCCTCCACCCCGTCCAGGTCCACACTTACTACACTCACTTCTAAACGGACTTTTCTCTACACTACCCTTCCTTCCTCAAATGCCCTCCTCGCTCGACCTCAAGTGGGATTCCCTGGTGGTTCAGAAGGTGGAGCATCTGCCTGCAGTGCAGGAGACCCAGGTTCAATCCCTAGGTCGGGAAGACCCCCTGGAGAAGGGAATGGCTGCCCACTCCAGTGTCCTTGCCTAGCAGAACCTAGCGGACAAAGGAGCCTGGCGGGCTACAGTCTATGAGGTCACAGAGCTGGACACAACTGAGCGGCTAGCATTTTCACTCTCCATCTCAAGGTGTCGCCTGCAGGAAGCCCTGCCATCCTTCTATTCCATCTCTCCCTCTCCAGCCTTTCTCTGGGTCAAGCACATGCTATCTGCCCCACTTAGGAGTACAGTTCCTGGAAGATGGGGGTCAGCCTCCTCCTGTCACCCTTCACTATCTGCCTCAGGTTGTGCCGAGCAAAGCACTGTCTCTTTCAAGCAGCAGGGCCTAGAGTTGATCCTTGCCTCAGCTCTTAGAGAAGCAAGGGGTTTCACCATGGGGCCAGCCCGGGCTGTCCTGAGTGGTAAGGCAGCGCAGCCCTGGAGGCAGGACACAGCTTCGTTTCCACGTCCCCCTGCAGAGAAGCAGCGGGAGCTGGCCCGGAAGGGCTCCCTGAAGAACGGCAGCATGGGCAGCCCCGTCAACCAGCAACCCAAGAAGAACAACGTCATGGCCCGGACAAGGTAGGCGCCGCCCCGCCAGGGCCCTGCCAGCCGGCTCCTGTCTCTGCTGGTTCTGAGCCTCCCCTCTTCCCTTGCTCCTCAGGCCCAGCTCCTCTTCGAGAGGAGAGAGTCTCACAGGATCAAGGTGGCGGGGTGGGATGGGGAAGGGTGGGATGGGGCCGGGAGGGAGGTTGTGGGGTGTGGCCAACCCAGTTCCTTGCCAGGTTGGTATGCTTCAGTCGCCAATCCAGTCCCCCAAATTCTCCCCCCAGGCTGGTCGTCCCAAATAAAGGCTACTCCTCGCTTGACCAGAGCCCGGATGAGAAGCCACTGGTAGCCCTTGACACAGACAGGTGTGTACGGAGGCATCGGGGCAGCCGGGCAAGCCACAGCAGTGAATGAATGGGAATAAACAAGTGGGCTGAACAGGCCACACCTGCTTTACTGTCAGAATGAGGGTGTCCCTCAGCCAGGAGCTCTCCGAGGGTGAATCCCCCAAAGAATGGAGATGGGGGGAGCAGACAGAGGAAAGGGGATCAGTGCAATCTGCTGCTGTCCTGGGACAGCTGACCTGGCAGCTGCCCCTCTAATGGGCCCTGATGCCATGGTGCCCTGCCCGCTCTGAGGGGGGAGCCCCATTGCAGGGCACAGACCTGGCTAGACCTAGACTTTGGGAAAACCCAACAAACCCAGATGATTTGAGCCTAGGAAAAAGAGGGGCAGAGCTGTGGGGTAGTAGCAGCTTGATTTAGGAGGAGGTTAAGGGCATTTGGTTAAAGGTTAAAGGTATTTGGGCTTCCAAATACTTGGGTTTCCAAATACTACCCTTGGTTTGGGCTTCCCTGGCGGCTCAGATGGTAAAGCGTCTGCCTGCAATGCGGGAGACCTGGGTTCAATCCCTAGGTCAGGAAGATCCCCTGGAGAAGGAAATGGCAACCCACTCCAGTACTCTTGCCTGGAAAATCCCATGGACAGAGGAGCCTGGTAGGCTACAGTCTATGGGGTCGCAAAGAGTCAGACACGATGGAGCGACTTCACTTTCACTTTCAAGGGTAGTATGTGTTTAGAAGGGTGGGGCTAAGGAACCTGGCTTAAAACTGCATTCCCACAGCAAGCATGGTTTCTGCTGAGATTGTGCTGTTTCTTTGGAAGTGTGGGGGGAGGGGAGGTATTGACTGATGGGGGGGAGGGTAAAGAGAGTTTTCTATTTAATGTCTGGAAATCACTTCCTCTCCGCCTTCTCTCCTCCGCGGCCAGTGATGATGACTTTGACATGTCCAGATACTCCTCCTCTGGCTACTCCTCCGCTGAGGTGAGGCCCCACTGCTTCCTGCCCTAAACGCACCTTGGTAGGACCACCTCTAGGGGAAGGGGTGGGGCTAACACCAAAACACCCTGAGCAGAGCAGTGGGCAACAGAATGGGAAAGACTAGAGCTCTCTTCAAGAAAATTAGAGATACCGAGGAAACATTTCATGCAAAGATGGACACAATAAAGGACAATAATGGTATGGACCTAACAGAAGCAGAAGATATTAAGAAGAGGTGGCAAGAATACACAGAAGAACTATACAAAAAAGATCTTTATGACCCAGATAACCACAGTGATGTGATCACTCACCTACAGTGCTGGAATGCGAAGTCAAGTGGGCCTTAGGAAGCATCACTATGAACAAAGCTAGTGGAGGTGATAGAATTCCAGTTGAGCTATTTCAAATCCTAAAAGATGATGTTGTGAAAGTGCTGCACTCAATATGCCAGCAAATTTGGAAAACTCAGCAGTGGCCACAGGACTGGAAAAGTTCTTCATTCCAATCTCAAAGAAAGGCAGTGCCAAAGAATGCTCAAACTACTGCACAGTTGTACTCATCTCACATGCTAGTAAAGTAATGCTCAAAATTCTCCAAGCCAGGCTTCAAAAGTACATGAACCGTGAACTTCCAGATGTCCAAGCTGGATTTAGAAAAGGCAGAGGAACCAGAGATCAAATTGCCAACATCTGCTGGATCATAGAAAAAGCAAGAGAGTTCCAGAAAAACATCTACTTTTGCTTTATTGACTACACCAAAGCCTTTGACTGTGTGGATCACAAGAAGCTGTGGAAAATTCTTCAAGAGATGGGAATACCAGACCACCTGACCTGCTTACTGAGAAATCTGTATGCAGGTCAGGAAGCAACAGTTAGAACTGGACATGGAACGACAGACTGGTTCCAAATAGGAAAAGGAGTACGTCAAGGCTATATATTGTCACCCTGCTCATTTAACTTATATGCAGAGTACATCATGAGAAACACAGGGCTGGATAAAGCACAAACCAGAATTAAGACTGTCGGGAGAAATACCAATAACCTCAGATATGCAGATGACGCCACCCTTATGGCAGAAAGTGAAGAAGAACTAAAGAGCCTCTTGACGAAAGTGAAAGAGGAGAGTGAAAAAGTTGGCTTAAAACTCACCATTCAGAAAACTAAGATCATGGCATCCGGTCCCATCACCTCATGGGAAATAGATGGGGAGACAGTGGAAACAGTGACAGACTTTATTTTGGGGGCTCCAAAATCACTGCAGATGGTGACTGCAGCCATGAAATTAAAAGACGCTTGCTCCTTGGAAGAAAAGCAATGACCAACCTAGACAGCATATTAAAAAGCAGAGACATTACTTTGCCAACAAAGGTCTGTCTAGTCAAAGCTATGGTTTTTCCAGTAGTCATGTATGGATGTGAGAGTTGGACCATAAAGAAGGCTGAACACCGAAGAATTGATGCTTTTGAACTGTGGTGTTGGAGAAGACTCTTGAGAGTCCCTTGACTGCAAGGAGATCAAACCAGTCAATCCCGAAGGAAATCAGTCCTGAAAATTCGTTGTAAGGATTAAAGCTGAAGCTGAAACTCCCAATACTTTGGCCACCTCATGCGAAGAGTTGACTCATTGGAAAAGACCCTGATGCTGGGCAAGATTGAAGGCAGGAGGAGAAGAGGATGACAGAGGATGAGATGGTTGGATGGCATCACGACTCCATGGACATGAGTCTGAGCAAGCTCAGGGAGTTGGCGATGGACAGAGAAGCCCGGTGTGTTGCAGTCCATGGGTCACAAAGAGTCGGATTGGACACGACTGAGCACTGAGCGACTGAACTGAGGTGGAGCCTGTGCTGGGCGGGGCCTGGGATAAGATCTGACTCCGCCTCCAGTGCAGGGAGCACAGAGTTAGGGGCGGGGTTCGGACCCAGGTTGGAACAGGGCCCTGAACCGCAGTGGGGTGTGACACAGGGGCGACACCTTATGGGCGAGGGCCTGAAGTAGGGGCGGGGCGAACAGAAGCAGGATCTGAGGTGGGAAGCTGCCCCTAGAAAGGGGTGGGGTGAGTAGCAGGGCCAGGTGGAGCCCCAAGAGGATGTGCCCGTAAGGGAGGCCAGAACTGAGGCTGGGGCCTACAGGAGGTGCAAAGCCTGGGGTTTCTGGAGAGCCAGGGATGGGACAGGGCTGGGTGTGGACAGCTGGTGCCTGCGGATGGCCCCGAGCCTGACCTCCCTCCCCTTTGTCTGCAGCAGATCAACCAAGATTTGAACATCCAGCTGCTGAAGGACGGCTACCGGTTAGATGAGATCCCCGACGACGAGGACCTGGACCTCATTCCCCCCAAGTCCGTGAACCCCACCTGCATGTGCTGCCAGGCCACGTCCTCCACCGCCTGCCACATCCAGTAGCGGGCGGGGCCGCTGCGGCCGCCGGGGTGGGGCCGCCGGGGGCCAGCTTGGACCGGGCAGGGGCCAACCCCTCCCCTGCTCGTCCACCTGCCCCCCGGGGCCCCGCGCCCCCTACAGCCGCCAACCTCGTAACAGTCATTGCTTCCTCCTATGGTAGGACGTGTACCTCTGTGTGTTCATGGAGCCGGAGAAACCAAAACCGGGTCTCTCTCCACCCCCGGGGGCTGAGGAGGGGAGGGCTGTTTGTTCAGTTACTTGGGGGACCTTGGCCAGCATCCTGCCCCCTCCCCGAAGCCACTGTCTGGTGGAGGAAAGGGGTGACTGGACTTCGTGGAGGCTAACAGTAATGAGTAAGGGGCAGGATCACAAAGCCAGGGGTTTGGCTCCACCCCAGTGAAGCCAGGAACCCCCAGCACCAGCCAAGGAAAGGGGCTGGGAGGAGAAAGACCCAGGCCAACAGGGTCAGGGCCCAGCCCCACAGAGCCGCCTCCACATGCTCCCTTGCTGGCCCATGTACCATTTGCGTTTCTCCCCTCATCTCCAGATGGGAAGTCTGGCAAAGCTGCCCAGTGGGATATTGTCCCCCACCCATCAGATCACTGCCATCTTCCTCTACTTTGCCCCATTCACCTCCTTCCTTGCTGTCTGGATTGCATGGCGGGTGAGGTGGGCCTTAGAGACAGCCAGAGTTTAGATGGTATGATCCGTCCTCACCTGCCCCTAACTAACACATCTATTTCTCTGCACCCCTTTCCCTGCCCCCCACATTTCTGTTCTGTTCATCTGTCCTGGGCTGGAAGCAGGAGGTAAGGCTGGCCTCGAATGCCCCATTGTGGTCTTACTCTAGCACAAGATCCTAGAGGCTGCTTCCCAGGAAGACTCTTCAAGAAAGCAAGCCTGGGAGAATACAGTGGCAGCAGGTGTATGGTAGGGATGGCTTGGCAGAATGTGTGCGCACCTGGGGCTGTCAGAGTGTGTGTCTACATCTCTGGGTTGGGCCTGTCTCTCTAGATGACTGTGGTGACCATGTTGGGGAAATGACTGTGTGACCTGTTAGCAGTGTGAGAGGCCGCTCAGCAGTTCAGTGGACAGACAGCCCTGGGCGGGGGGTCAGAAGTCTGAGTTCTGGTCCTCGCTCGGGCACGCTTCCTCTCACCTCCAACAAGCCAGTTATGTTCTCTGGCCTTCTGTTTCCTATGCGGTATAGTGAGCAGCATCTGAAATTATTTTGAAGGTTATTTCAAACCTGAAGAAATTTCTTCATAGGAATTTCCTTGGAGGTGGACAGGGAGGTCTCTGGGTGTCTTCAAGTATACCTGGGGTCTTCCTGAGCTGCATGTCTGTGTGGAGAAAAAAGGGGGAAGTTCTTATGGGACCTGTGTATGTCTGAATACATGTGGATCTTTGGGGGAATGTGAGTGTGTGTGTCTGTGAATGTATTTGTGTATGTGGGTATCTATTGTGTGTGTAGCTGTACCTGTGTGTGTAACTGTATACAGTGTATAGCTGTATCTATGGGGTGTGTGAGAGTCAGAATGTGTGTATCTACTGCTGCTTCTGCTGCTGTTACTCATTGGTGGAGGGGCGGGGTTGGTGGCCAGAAAAGCTGAGGATGAAAATCAAGAGGGAGGAGGGGACCAAGGCCCTCCCCTGGGCCTGGGCAATACAGACCTGCCCCCAGGTGAAGAGAAACGAACGCACAGATGGCCTACACCCACTCAGGCCTCTGCTCCTTGAACCCCATACCCCAGGGCTATTCCTCAGGCCGACCCCATCCCGCACATGCTGGCCAGTCCTCTCTGATACATACCACGCACATGCTGCAAGTGTGCGCAGGCCACACCCCCAGCCCAGCCCCGGGCTGCCGTCCTGGGAGGCTGGAAAGAGGAGAGACAGCAAGGCTGCTGGCTTAGGAAGGGTATCACTTCTCTCTGCACCACACCCAGGGGCTACCAGCTCCCCTCAACTTCTCCAACCTAACCCCACCTCCTCTTAGTTCAGGGAGGAAATGCCAAAGGGAAGCAAAGGACAGAGAAGTCAGCTGCAGGACTCATATGGCCCAGACTGGTCCCCATCTGAGCCCATTGCCCCCAGCCTGATCAGCAGACCCACCCCCTGTCATCTGGGCACCAGAGCCATGCTTCCTACCACCACCCCTCCTTGACTCACCCTTCAAGAACACGGGTACCTCCTCTTTTCCAGGCAGGGCTCCCACCAGGGCTCACTTAGACAGCTGCCTTTGCTGCTGACATGTTGTGTGACTCTGGCCCATTGCTCAACCTCTCTGGCCCTGAGGAACAAGGGAAAGGCTCCCTCCCCACAGGATAGACCTGATCCCCTGGCAGACAGGGGCCTCTCGCTGAGGCCATGTGGTGGAGAGAAGTAGGAAGCTGGTGGCTAGCACCCTCTGGGTGCAGGGAGAGTGCGCAGTTCCCTCCTTCCTACCCAGGAGGTGGGAGGGGAGAACGGAGGCCTTGGCTTGCCCTGCCGCCCTCCCCTGTAGATACTGCCTTAACACTCCCTGCCCTCAGCACTGGCTGCCACTCAGCCGGGTTTCTCCGTGCTCACTAATTTATTTCCAGGAAGGTGTGTGGAAGACATGAGCCGTGTATAATATTTTTTTTAACATTTCCATCGCAGTATTGACCATCATCCTTGGTTGTGTATCGTGTAACACAAATAATGATATTAAAAGCATCAAACAAGCTAGCCTCAGCTCCCTACCTGGGGTCGGGGCCAGGGGCAGATGGGCCGGGAAGGGCAGAGAACTGACCCTCTGAACTTGACCCCTCGGGATCTCCATTCCTCTTCACCACAGTGAGAAGCTTTGGCCTAGAAGGTCTCCGGGGACCTTGTGAACTCTTGGAAATTGGGCCCTTTTGAGAGGCTGAAGGCAGGAAGAGACTGGGGTGGGGAGTCAATCTTCACCTCCCCGGAGATGGGGCTGAGCCAGATGATATCATAATGGGCAGTGCCCATCGTAGAGAGGGAATCAGGGTGGGGTAGGAGCAAGAAGGCTGTGAGGGAGGGAAGCTGAGAGACCCTCCACAGGAGGGGGTCACAGCAGCTACGGGTACCTGTCGGGCTGTCTGGGAAAGAAAGGGTGGTCACTGATGTCTTGCAGGAGCCCTTGGTAGGTAGAGCCCACCAGGGCGTCCCCCAGACCCCACTATGTTCCTCTTTTCCCGAAAGACCAAGACCCCCGTCAGCACCTACAGTGACTCCTACAGGGCCCCCACCTCCATCAAGGAGGTCTACAAGGACCCACCTCTGTGGGCCTGGGAAGCTAACAAGTTTGTGACCCCGGTAAGTGGCAAGCTGGTGTGGGAGGTCTGGGGGAGTGCAGTCCAGAATGTATGGCTGTGGGTGTCTGGATGGCTGATGGTGTGGCTGTCATTGTGTTTTTGTAATTATTTGTAGTTTTGTGTGTATGTGATTCATTTGCTTAGGCATAAAACTTCTAATAATATATATAAAGGAGTACAAGATCCTGCCCTCACGGAACCTTGCTACTCCACCAGGATAGGGGATGGAGAGAGACAGATGATAAGAAATAAACAAGACTGTCCAAAATTCTGTTAAGTAAATCAACATGGTACTGGAAATGAGCGGTAACCAGGGAGAGCTACTTATATTGAGAGTGATGGAAGAGCTTTCTCTCTTTCAAGGTGACACTGAGTTGAGGCTGGAAAGGTGAGCGACAGCTAGCTCACCTTTGAGCTATGTGAGGAACTGAAAGAACAGGATTCCAGGCAGAGTGATCAGAAAGTGCAAAGGCCCTGAGGCTGCCTATGGGCTGTGCCTACAGGCATGTTTTTATGCATGCATGTCACAGTCTCCTGTAGTTGAAGACAGGTGGCCAAGTGGGAGTGTGCAGCTTCACAAAATGGAGAGGAGATGCGTGAGTCTAATTGTGACTCTGCCCAAGGAAGATTATCTGTGTGTAGCATCCAACAAAACTTTGCTGAGTATTTACGTGTGCCAGGTACAATACAGTTACAACCATGAAAGGCCAGGCATTGCCTCTGAGGAGCTATCAGCAAGAAATGAACAAAGTGCCCAATGTGAAACATGCAACAGCAGAGGCTTGTGCTGGTAGAAGAATCAGAAAGAAGAGCTCACTCCCAGGACCTGAAGGGCAGGTCTACTAAGAGATCCAGGCGGGACTTCCCTGGTGGGCTAGTCGTTAAGAACAAACCTGCCAATGCAGGGGACACAGGTTAAATCCCTGGTCCAGGAAGATTCCACATGCTGCGGAGAAAGTAAGCCCATGCACCTCAACTACTGAGCCTGCAGATAGAGAAAGCTTGTGCAGAGCAACAAAGACACAGCGCGGCCAAAAAATAAATTAACTGGTTTTAAAAAAGAGAGCCAGGAGGAGGACACTTCGAGCAGAAGAGATATAAAAAAGGGCAACGCCGGGTCAGGGACCCACCAGGTACTAAGGACTAGAGCAGAGAGAGAATCCAGCCCTACGGTAAGAGAGGGGCCTGCAAACCATGAAGAGCCACAGGTTGTGTTGAGAAATGCGATCATCATGCTCCAGGTTTTTGATCCTGGGAGTATCATGCTTGGATTGTAAGCAACTCTGGCCACCGTGGCAGGAGATTGAAGGGACTGGGACTGGGAAGGGAAGCCCCATGAGATGTTGAAGGATAAGGGGAGAGGATGTAGGTAGGAGATAAGGAAAGTCTGTAGCAGTGAAAAGGGGAATTTTTTGAATAGGAGGACATTTTAAAAATTATTTTTGTAATTATAAAATAAATACATGCTCAATGCAGAAAATGGGGATAACTAAGAGAAGCACAAAGAAAAAGGCCTATAATTCTCACTACCCAGAATAACCACTGATAATTTATTATTCCATGCCCTTTCAGGAAGCAAAAAAAATTTATGAAGGTGGTGTCATGTTGTATACCATGTTTTGAATCTTGCTTTTTCTGCAAAACCATCTATCAAGAACATTTTCCTGTGTCAAAAATATTCAATAATGTAATTTTAATACCTGTATGGTGTTTTACTTTATGAATGTACCAAAATGTAGTTCAGGAATTTTATATTATTGGAAATTTAGATTGCTTATAAAATTTTGCTAGTATAGTCATTCTTGTACATTCTTTGTGTAACATCAACTGTTCTCTTAGGATAAATTCATAGATATGAAACTGTTGGGAGAAAGGTCACATCCAAAAAACTTTTGGGGTATAAACTTCAAATTGCTGTGATGAGGTCATAATAATCTACATGCCCACCAGCAAGATATGAAAATGCCTGCCTGCTTTTCCAAACTCAATAGGAGAAAATTTTTAGGAAGTAGGTCAACACATCTTAGTCACCATCTGGATATGAAGATGAGAGAGATTAGAATGACCCCTGGGTTTAGGGCTCTGGAAAACTAGTGGAATGTCAGTGCTACCAGCTGAGATTTGGAATGCACATTAGAGAGAGGTTTGGGGTTCTTCTGGGGGCAAAAATATTCAAAGACTTCCAGGTAAAGATGTCTGATGGGTAGCTGGATATACTTATCTGAAGCAAAGAAAAGAGGTCTGGGCTACAGACATAGATTTTGAAATCAACATATTGGTGGTAGCTGAAATCATAGGAGTAATTCAGATTGCCAAAAAAGAGTAAGAAAATGGCCAAGGACAGAACTTTGGAGAACATCAATATTCAAGGGGTAGGTAAAGGAAGACGAGCCATGAAAGGAGACAGGGTGATAGGAGGAAAAATCCAGGAGAAACCAACAAGACAATATTATTAGACAAAACTCAGTATCAAACATTGTCAGCACAGAAAGGGATCTCTTGGCTGTAGTAACCCTTAGCCATCTGACTATACAGCTTTGTTGAGTGGAAAGGAATGAAAGTCAAATAGCAGTAGGATTAATAATGAAAGAAAAGGCTTCTGCTTCTGACAGTATGGTGGTCTAAAACTCTGAAGCACGCTCCTGCTTACCAAACAACTAGGTCTTGCATAAAAGTTAATTTTTATTTGGTTTTGGACTGTCAGTGGAGATGAGTGGTAAGTATACTAAGATGACAGGATTGCCCTAAGAACAAATGCTACTATCAGTACTACAAGCAGGAGTTTAAGCCTTAAACTAGCTGCAAGATGGAGCAACTAAACCTGTAATTCCCAAACTGAACCAGAAAATCCAATGATCCCTGGCTCCCTGCCCCACCCCCACACACATGTATATATATTCTGTGTTGGAAAATATCTTCAATGTAGGTCTCTAGGTGCCCTTCAAAGTACAGTCATTCAAGTCTGAGCTCATAATAAGAGATATAAGGTAACAAACCACCATATGATGGAGGCAGTAGAAACAATAAACAATAGCCTTAAACCTCTAAGGACATAAGATATTGGAATTAACAAAGAATACAAAATAAATGGCAACCCACTCCAGTATTCTTGCCTGGAAAACCCCATGGACGGAGGAGCCTGGTAGACTACAGCCCATGGGGTCGCAAAGAGTCGGACACAACTGAGTGACTTCACCTTCACAAAATAACTATGAGTCTTTAAAAATAAAATATGAAATCATCAAAAAGAGCAAGAAATAAGAGATCATGTTCTTAAAAGGACAGACAAATTTTTAAATGAATAGAAATTATAGAAATAAAATATATGTTAAAACCAAAAACTCAATGGATGGTTTAAAGAGCTAATTAGACATAGCTTAACAGTGTCAGTGAGGGTCTTCCCTGGTGGTCCAGTGGTTAAGAATCTGCCTTCCAATGCAGGGGACTCAGGTCCGATCCCTGGTCAGGGAACTAAGATCTCACATGCCACTGGAGCAACTCAGTCCGCACACAGCGGCTGGAGAGGAGCCCACGGGCCACAGTGGTGAGTCCACACGCCACAACAGAGACCAGGCACAGCCGAAACTTAAAAAAAGAAAAATCTGAGTGTCAGTAAAATGAAAGAATGAAATAAATTTTCCAGAATGCAGCACAGAGAGACAGAGAGAAAATATGGAAGAAACATTAAGCAACATGAAAGAAGGGGAAGATCTCACACAACCACTCAGAGTCCTAGGATGAAAGAGCAGAAGGGAGAATAGGCATTATCTGAAGAGGAAAAGGCTCTGAATTTTCCACAACTAACGAGAAATGAATCCAAGGATTCTTAAGTAACTCATTCAAAACTGCACAACACCAGCTTAACAGATGACCTTAAAAATATGCAGAGAGAATTATTTTCAATGCATCTTCCTTTCAACACCAATAAATAAATAAGATAAAGACACTTACAGGCAAATAAAAATTAAAACATTTACTACCATAAGACCTACTATAAAAGAATTTCTAAAGGATATACTTTGAGGAAAGGGAACTAATCACAAAAGGAAAATTTGAGATAAAAGAAGGAATGATGAGCTAAGAAACTGTTAAATGAGATAAATTTAAGCAAAATTGTCTACAGAAAATCATTATAATAATTTTAGCTTGTAAAATTTATTTTTTTTTAGCTTGTAAAATTTAAAGAACCAAAATATTGGAAAACAATACCATGTAAATTATATATTGGAAAACAATATCATGTAAGATACAAGGATAGGAAAGGAATTTTTATAAAAACTGCCATTATTCAATTATTCACAGATGATACAGTTGTATTATAGAATCTGAAAATTATTCAAATAAGAGAATTTAGAAAGTCAGATGAATATAAGATAAGTCAACCACATTTCTTTACATCAAAAACAAGTATTTTGGAAGCATAATCTTAAAGTATATATCATTTGAGCATCAAAGAGTAAAACTTAGTAGAACTAAATAACAGTCTATGCAAAACTATGCAAAAAACTATGCAAAAAAGTCTATGGATAATATTATAAAACTTTGAATACTTTAAGAAAATACTTAAATGAAGAGGCATAACATGCTCTTGGAGAGGAAAAGTCACTAACACAGAGATTCAATACAATTCTGATTAAAATCTGAAAAAGATTCTTTGAAGAATTTGTCAAGCTGTTTCTAAAATTTATAGAGAAGAGCCAAGGCCCAAGACTAGCTAAAACACACCTGAAGAAAATGAGGACTTGCTCTATCAGATAATAGTATTTATTACCAATCTACAGAAATTCATAAAGCATAGTATTACTGAAGGGATATACAAACTGATTAATAAAATAGACCAGAAATGGAGCCACACATAAATGGAAACAATATGCAACAGAGATGATTGAAAGTAAAGCTATACAGATATATCAGGGTGGGGTAGCTTTACAAATATGTGGGAGGGACTTCCCTGGTGGTCCAGTGGTTAAGAATCTACCTTCCAATGCAGGGAATGCAGGTTTGATCCCTGGTTGAGGAACTAAGATCCCACATGCTGCAGGGCAACTAAGCCTGCACACTGCAGCTACCCAGCCGGTGCCATCTGGAGCCTCCATGCTGCAACTAGAGAAGCCCCCACTCCACAACAAAAGATCTCGTGTGCTGCAACTAAGACCCAACACGCCAAGTAGATAAATACTTTTAAAAATTTGTGGGAGAAGTTAGGTTACTCAGTGAGACAACTGATCACCCTTGTGGATTAAAAAAATTGATCCCTAGTTCACCCCAAACACAAGAAGCAGTTCCTGACAAATTAAGACTTAAATATAGCAAGTAAAACTGTACAGCTTTTAGAAGAAATTATATATTATCTCCATTATTTTAGGTTATGGGTGGATTTCCTAAGTCACAAAAGCACTACCTAAGAGATTAATAAATTCAATTATATTAAAATTAAGACCTTATGTTCATCAAAAGACACCAAAAAGAAAATGAAGATGTAAGCCATGAACTGAGAGATGATATAGTAACATGTAACTGACAAAAGAATATGTAGAATGTATAAAGGATTATAATTCTCTGGGTTAAGATTGAGCACATGTTTTGACTCCTTCCTAAAACTCCTCTAAAACTACAATAAATGGACATTTAAGACATCAGTTCACAAAAATAGTGAAAAAGTGGGACAATGACAAAATTTCAGAAGCTGGAAAGTGTGATAGTTAAGTAACTGACAACAGTTCTGAGAAAGCTGAATCCAAAGCCAATAGTGGGAAACACAAGGCATAATTCAATTTAAAACTGTAGAATTTTCAAAAGGTTCAGAATTTAGTAATATTAGGCTTCTCTGGAACTGAAGATGGGACAGGACCAAGGCTGAAACAATGATTTGAACGCTGTTAAAAAGCAATTAAAGGGACTCCTCTGATGGTCCGGTGGTTAAGACTGCATGCTGCCAGTGCAGAGTGTACAGGTTTGATCCCTGGCTGGGGGAATTTGGAAACTAGGATCCTGCATAATGCTTGGCTTGAACAAAATAAAAAGAAACAATTAAAACCACTAACTTCCTTCTCTACTCCATGCCATAAGGTGACTACTTGCCCATCTCTGCAAAAGTCAGAAGGCTTATTTTTCTGGCAAGGATCTCAGGACTGGGAATTCCAGGCCCAGCTAAGGTCAGGGTACCATACTGAAAACAGGTGAATCTCCATATGCTGAATGCTAAAACCCCCAGCAGCCGTATTCTCCACTAGGTTCTCAAAACACTGGCAGCTAGGTACAACTCTCAAGCCAAAGATTGAAAGAATCTCTTCAGAGAGATCTGATCAACCCAAGAGAAAAGACTTAACAGCTACTGACAGAGTTTGCAACAAATAGTCTAGCCAGACCTGCCTACAATGATGCCCACCCACAGCTCAAAGCCTTCAGTGAGTTTTTATAGTCTCCTATTCATGAACAGACAATCAAAGATTATAAATATCTGAGGGAAGCCTCAAAGGGAAACACGGAAGATATCTATGGGCTCTTTTAAATGACTACGTGTGTGTGTGTGTGCATGCATGTGTGCAGGCACACGTGTCTGTGGGTTTGTGAGCATGTCTGAGTGTCTATGGATGTGTGAGCATGTCTGACTGTTTTTGCATAGATGTACATCTATCTGTACAAGTGTCTGTGAGTGTATCTGGGTGCACAGATCTCTGTGTATGTCTGGACGTGCATGTGTTTGTGTGTGTGTAAAACTCAGGGGAGTGCTAAGTCTTGGGGCCCCTCCACCCACATGGAGTATGACCATGCAGGATCTGCCCACAGAACAAAACCTCAGCTAGCATGGAGGATTCAAGAAGCCCCTCAGCTGAGGGATTTTCAGGGGCCTAGGAGGGCTAGGAGCAGCAAGGTCTCACCCCTGGCCAAGAGAAACCTCTGCTTTTTAGATCACATGGGGGAAGTGTGGTAGCAACGTCAGCACCCCAGCACCTTGCTGCCCGCCATGATGAGAAAGTCCTTTCTGGTATTTGACCTTGCTGGGTGTCCCACCTCTGTAACCCAGCTGCCTTTCACCCTGGATGCCTACAGAGACATGGGCCCACAACTAACCTGGCAATCTACATTTAGCTGAAAAGAAGGGAGCCCCCAAGGGGAGACGTTGATCTGGAATTTGGGGTGATAGGATAAGATGAGGTGAACCCCAAGAAGCAGAGGGACCTAGAGTCTGAACCAAGATCAGGGGAAAAGTCAGGCTAGGATAAAGAATAGCACATCGTGAATGTCAGGGTCAAGCGTAATACTGGTGTCAAGATGAGAGCCACAGCAGAATTCAGGTCAGGCTGGAGTCAGAGAATTCGATTTTTAAAGTAGGTGCCCCTCTGTCCCCATTCTTCATCTCCTTTAGGGTGCCAGATTCTTCGAGAGTCCTCCCTGCCCTAAACACCTGCCTAAGGCAGCCAGCTCCCAAGGCAGCCAGCCTGTCCTGAAGCTCCAGGTTCTACCACAGGTCTATCGCCCTGTTGGGGGAGACCCAGACCCTGATCCCAGGCAGCACACAGTCTGAAAGAAAGAAAACAAGAACACTTTGCTCTGCTCTTAGAAGTCCTAGTCAAGGAAAGGACAGAAATGAGAACATCAGGAAATCACTCTGATTGAGGGCAAATGTCAGGTTCCAAATCCTTAGCTGGAAGAAAGGGTGACTCAAGCAAAGCTGGCCTGGATATCCCTCCAGCATAGGGAGGGGGTGGAACACCCACCTGGGCTGACCTCAAGAGCTAAATCTAGGTCCAGCCGGATGCCAAGGTTGGGGTCCCCATGCACCTAGCCATCTCTTCCCCTCTCCCCTTGCCCAGGGCCTGACTCAGACTGCACAGCGCCATGTGGATCCTGATGCCCTGCAGAAGATGCTCAGGTGTGCTGGGCAGGACTACAGATACAGGGGCTCCACACCAAGCCACCCCTACTTCCCTGAGAAATACTGGCTCTGTCCAGAGGAAGGTAGGGCCTCACCACTCACCCATTCAGTGACCCCAGCAAAGACCCTACACCTGAACCCAACTTGAATCCTGACCTCCACCTTGGTCCTTATCCCCATCCACAACCTGGCTTTCTATTCTTATCTCCCCCATTCTAGCTTGAGTCCCAACCACCTGCCCTGACCCTGACCCTGACCCCTGACCCTGGAGGAGGAGATCCAGGCTCTACCTTTTGGGAGCTCCCAGTCTGTGCCAAGAAACTGGAAGAGGCCTTGGTCTTATCCCTAGAGTAAGGGAGGGAGCATTAACCTCCTCCAAACAAATTCCTCCATGTGTATTCTGGGTGCCATCTTCTCCCGTCTTCTTGGTGGCCCTGTTCCATCAGTTTCCCCTTCTTTCCTGCATCCCCCTGCCCCACCACACCTCTCTCCACTCAACCTGGAAGCCTTTTCTAATTTTCCTCTGCCTAAAAATTATCTCTTGCTCCTCCCCCTAACAGCCAAGATTCTTGAAAATAAGAATTACTCCTTATGCCTTGTGAGAAATCATCTTTCTCATTTGCTTAGGTGTTTATTATTTGTCTCCCTATACATTCCAAAAGAGCAGAAAGTCCTGTTTTTATTTAGAACAGGCCCCCTCCATCCAGAATAGCATCAGGCTTCCTAAGTATTTGTTGAGTGAATTGATTAATGTTCAATTGAAATTGGGAATCTGCGTCTCCTACACTTATATTTAATGTTATTAAAATTGATCTTGTATGGTTCCAGTTACCTCATCCATGGAACTCTTCAGTCTTTTCCTTATGAGACCTACCCTGTGCATTTCATTCTGACAACTCTCTACTTTGTGAAACTCCTTCCCTCCATCTGTGAAAGGAAGATGTGAAACCCCATGAGCTTCTCTGATGCCTCAATTTCCTGGGTCTCTTGTCTAATCATTCTGGAAACATAGGTTTTCTCGGGATGCTGATCTGAGCCCTCCTCTCTCATTTCTCTCCTGGGACCATTTAATTTAACCCACAACTTTAATTACTGACAACTCCAAGTCTTTATTTTTAGCCTTGATCTCTCACCAGAATTCCACTCTCCTTTATCTGATTATGATCAGATTTACCTAAATGGCCCCAAACACTTCAAACTCAGCATGTCCAACCCTCCAACCCGGACCCCCCAGTCCCAACATACTGCCCCACATGTACACACACCTGCTCTTCCTCTGTGGCCCCTAGACCTGCTTTCCTGATCTCTCAGGTGTGTTCTTTCACACTGTTAGGGGGTGGATCACAGAGGAACTTACAGGACAGACTTAGGGGACTGCGTGAGTGTAGCTTTGGAGGGTTTTTACATGGGGATTTTCATTTATGATAAGTGCCAAAGTTTCTATGTAGAGATTGGATTGTAGGATTTCAAAATGAGGTAGGAAGATCAATAGACTAATAGCAATAATAATCACAATAATAATGATGATGATAGTCTTCTGCGTGCCAGGCATTGTTCTCAGTGTTTTACATATAATAACTTATTTAAATCTCACAACAACCCTGTGGGGTAGATAGTATTATTAGTCCCATATTAAAAGTAAGGAAACAGAGACAAGATGAAATTAACTAGATCAAGGTCACCCACAGTTAATGTCTGGCAGAGCTGAAATTAGAACCACAGGAGTCTGTCTGCAGAGTCCATCCTATTAACCATGACATTATTGTCTCCTGACTTAGGCATGGTGGAAATACAGGAGAAAGATCATGGGGGATTGGAGGAAGGATTTCATCAAGCGATTTTAAGGAGGCAGAATAAGCAGACTTTGAGCCTGCATGTGGAAGATGAAAGGGAAGATTTGAAAGGAGGACCATTTCCAGGGTTTCCACGTTGGCTGATTCAGAGAGGGTGGTGCTAGGATGAAAAGTAACCAGCTCAAAGGACATAGACCTCACTCAGAAGCTTGCTTTAGGTGGGATTCAGGCTGCATCTCAGTATCTAAGACAAATGTGGGGCCAGGATGGGCTTTTCTGGCCTAAGGGAGATTAGTGGGAGTCCAGCTTTGTGATAGGGATCAGAGGAGAGACATTTAGGGTCTCCCCAGATCCTGGGATAAAATAAGGAGTAATCCTAGAAAAAAAAAAAGAATAAGGAGTAATTCTGTCTTATATATCTCCACCCCTGTGCTCAAGCAGACAAATGCAACCCTAACTATCTGTGTGGCAACCCAAACTACCTGTGCAGTAACCGGTATAACACATGGAGGATGGCACCTTATAACTGCTGGAACAAATGTACCACATACCTTCCCCGGCTGCCTAAGGTACCTACTGTGCCCAGCAAAGACGCCTGGGGTCTGGGATAGCACCCCCACCATCTGCCTCCCAAATCACAGGGTCTGACATTTCACCATTAGTTTCTCATCCCTTTCCCACCAAGGTTCCAAGGCCTTTTCCCACTTGTGAGACTAGGGTTTATATTTTCTAGGAAACAAGGGAGCTCGGGAGAGAAGCTGTGCTGGGCCCCTGAGTCCCAATCTCTAGGAACTGGGTCTCCAAGGTCCCAATCTCTGGCTAGGCTGTGTGGAGACGGGCTGGTGCAAACTCCTTGATGTGCTACCTTCCTGAAGCTTGCCACCTGGCCCCTCTCCAGTGGTTTGGCCAAGGAGTCAGTGATAGGCTGGGTCTATCCGCTGCTCTCCTTTGTGATGATAACAAGCACAAAAGGCGGCAGAACAAGGCCCTCCAGAGATAGAGCAGATAGACACAGGACAGTCTTCCAAGGAGATAGGAAAGAGTCCGCACATGACCTCAGGCATCAAGAAAGAAGGAATATGAGAGGATTGCAGGCTATAATAGGGGCTCTTAGCTGTAGGTTGATGGCTGACCTCAGGTTAACTGAACCCTCTGAATTAGAACTTCCTCAAGAATCAGAAATTTTCACAAGGTCCCCAAATGATTCTGATGGACATGCAACAATGCAATATTTAAAAACTCCTTTTAGAGAGACACGGAGACACAGAGTCGGCTAGATAAGGAGGGGTCCAATCAAAGGCAAACGTTGAGACAGGGATGGCAGGGACCCAGGTACAGACCGGGTCCACCTACAGCTCCACTTCCCCCACCTCCATGCCCATCCCCCCAGGGAGGCGGAGTAAACGGCGTTGCCCGGCGACAACCCCAAACACTCAGAGCGTTGGAGAGTAGAAGGCGCGGCCTGGGACTAGTCTGGGTGTTCTGGGAGAACCCACCAAGGGAGGAATTCTTCCGGGTCAGAACTTGAGGTAGCGTTTCTGCCACTTCCAGGAGGCTGGGATGGAGACAGTGGTTCGAGGAATGCCCTTGGTGTATCCTCCTAAGCCGGAGCGACTCAATGCCTACGGTAACAGATGGAGGGAAAGCAGAGGGAAATGGGTAGACCAGAAGGCCGGAGGGATGGAGACTCGAGATATAGAACAAATGTTGAGGGTCCTGGAGCGATTGTAACCTTGTCTCGGCTTGTGTCTCCATCTCTTCCTGTCTCTGACCTCCTCTCTGGCCGTTCCCGTGACTGTGTCTGGGTCTCCGGGCTCGGGGCTCGCGGGCGCAGAGCGCGAGGTAGTGGTGAACATGCTGAACTCGCTGTCACGAAACCAGCCGCTGCCACAGATCACGCCCCGCTGCGGGTGTGTGGACCCGCTGCCGGGCCGCCTGCCCTTTCAGGGCTATGAGAGCACTTGCTCGGGCCGCCACTATTGTCTGCGTGGGATGGACTACAGCGTCTCCGGGCCACCCTGCAGGGAACACCGCCTGCGGCCTTTATGCACAGAGCTGCCTACTGTAAGGTTCGCAGGGCCGCGCGCGCTGTCGCCGGGCTCCGCCCCCAAACAAGCCCCGCCCCCAGAGCCCAGCCCTAAGCCCCGCCCCCAGAGCCCAGCCCTACCCCCCACCCCCTCCACCCCGCGGGCTCGGCATCCCGCCCAGCTTCTAGCTCTGTCCGGCCTGTGCGCCAGACCCCACTCCGCCTCCAGACCGCGCGGTTCCCTTGCTGGGCGCCACCCTGTCCCTTCCTCGGGCCTCATGGCCTGAGCAGACTGCTGAGGGGAGAGACCTGCACAAACTGGGCTGAAGGTCCACCTGGCTCTTGTTTGTCTTCTGGAGGCTCCGCTGGAGAGCTTCTTGGAGGCACACACCCCGCGCACCAATTTCATCCCGTCCCCTCGCTCGCCAGCCCTGCCCCCTACCTGGCCACCAGGCCCTGGAGATGCAGGTTCTAGCTTGCGGAGCGCCACGTGTCCTCAGAATACTGTCCCCTATTCCTGGGCCTCGTGGTTGGTACATCGGCAGGGTTATCGTTGGGTTCTAAGAGGGCGAGGAAATGGTGACCACGTGGGTAACAGAAGGGTCCTGGCCTCCTCGGAGCCCCGCACCACCTCCGGAGATAGACAGCCTCCCGTGTTATTGTGGAGGAAACAGGCTCGGGCGCTCAGCAGAAGCTCAGATTGCCATCTATCACCCTGCACCTGGCGTTAGACAAGGCGGGCTGAGCCGGGGAGAACTCCAACATCCGCGTCTGCCTAGAGAGCTGCGAAAGGGGGAGGGGGTCCTGAACCCTGTCCCTAACCCTGTGAGGACACCCCGTCCCTCCCCAGGCTGAGAGAGCCTGATGTATTGAGCGAAACTGGGTCTTATCACTCACAAGGTGTGGAGGAGGGAGAAAGTGCCTAAGCCTCAGAAAGTCGCCTCGTCGATAAGCGAGGATCCAGGATCCTCAATGACTGGACCCCTAACCCTCCCCGGAGTACAGCGTTCTCCGTGGTCCAACCTGGGAGGCAGAAACCAGGCCTCGTGGGGAGAGGGACTTCCAGGTGTCTTCCTGGAGGCAATACTTCGAGGAGATCTTGAAGGGCCAGGAGGCTGGAGGGGAGGATCTCCGAGCCGTAGGACAGACACCTGAAACGCGGCTCAGGGTCCTGGTCTGGGCTGGGGTGTGGGGAGAAGTGAAAAGGCCCGACTCCTTCCTGCCCACCGTTTCTTCCTTCAGGAGTGTGTCTCCCTGCAAGCACCGACCCGGAATGCAATGTGCTGTTATAACTCCCCAGCCGTCGTACTACGCCTGTCCGAACCTTAGGTGAGTCTGGCGCACACACATGCAAATTCGCACCCACAAAAGACGCTGTAACCTTGAGTGGCGGGGGACCCAGGGACTAGCTGGGGTGAGAACTGTTCGCTGTAATGCACCGACGGGAAGATGACACAAGGGGGCGCTAGTGCCATGGGGAAGTCAAACTGGCAACTAAACCAGAGCCCCAGGAGAGGGCATGGAGATTGGCATTGAAGAGTTACAAGTTGGCAGTGGGGCTTCCGGAGACGGCAATGGCAACCCACTCCAGTACTCTTGCCTGGAAAATCCCATGGACGGAGGAGCCTGGTAGGCTGCAGTCCATGGGATCGCTAAGAGTCGGGCACGACTGAGCGACTTCACTTTAACTTTTCACTTTCATGCATTGGAGAGGGAAATGGCAACCCACTCCAGTATTCTTGCCTAGAGAATCCCAGGGACAGAGGAGTCTGGTGGGCTGCCATCTATGGGGTCGCACAGATTCAGACACTACTGAAGTGACTTAGAAGCAGCAGCAGCAGCGGGGCTTCAGTGGGGCTTAGAGTCAAGAGATCAGGGTGTTAGGTTCAGGGCTTGAATTAAAGGGTTCAGCTCAGTTCAGTTCAGTCGCTCAGTTGTGTCCGACTCTTTGCGACCCCATGGACTGCAGCATGCCAGGCTTCCCTGTCCATCACCAACTCCCAGAGTTTGCCCAAACTCATGTCCATCAATCCAGTGATGCCAGCCAACCTGTCCTCTGTCATCCTCTGTCATCCCCTTCTCCTGCCTTCAATCTCGCCCAGCATCAGGGTCTTTTCCAATGAGTCAGTTCTTCCCATCAGGTTACCAAAGTACTGGAGTTTCTGCTTCAGCATCAGTCCTTCCAGTGAATATTCAGGACTGATTTCCTTTAGGATTGATTGGTTTGATCTCCTTACAGTCAAGGGACTGTCAAGAGTCTTCTCCAACACCACAGTTCAAAAGAATCAATTGATGCTTTTGAGTTAAAGGGTAGGAAGTCAATGTTAGGGAGAGGGTATTGGGAATCAAAAATTTAGCAGTAGTACCTGAGGTCAAGAGGTCAATATTGGAGCCTAGGGTCAGTATTAGGGGCAAAGTGTTGGGATAAGATTAACACTGAGAATTGGAGTCAGATGTATGAGGGTCCAAAGGGGCTGACCCATCTCTCCACACAGATGGGACACAAGTCACTTCAAGAAGACTGGTGGCTCCCAGAGAAATAACTATGTCGTCCACCCTGAGTTTGTGTCTGAGACCTATCCTGACTACCACTGCTGGTAGAAGCCCGGGCTGGCCAGGCCAAGGGGGCTGAACAATAAATAAATTCTTCACCCTAAAGGCTGCCTGCAGCATCCTCACCCAGCAGGATCTGGCATAAGGAGTCAGTCACTCAGGCCTCTGCCACGCCTCATCAGCAGAGATGCAGTTTCTCAAAGTCATCTTGCACTGAGCCCTCCCCACCCCATCATGTCAGTAGTTCCCATGGGTGGCAGTGAGTGCCCTCCTGACATATAACAGTAGCTCTATGAGGGGCATGTCCTCCTTTCCACTCCAGAGCCAAAACTAATGGGCCCACCTAGCCACTCAGGAGGGCCCATTCACCTCCCATCCCAGGAGGGCACAGCTGACATTTCCCCAATATCCTCCAACCTAGATGTCCCATCACCCCCCATATCTCAGTGGACCAGAATCCTCCATCCTGCAGTCAGAGTCATGTCCCTTACCCAATCTCTTGATCTCTGTTCCCAAAGTCTCCATCACAGCCACCCTAAAGTCTATACAGAACCCCTTACTGCCCTCCCCAACCCAAGTGCAAGGGGTGGGGTCCAGAACAATTTTGGAAGATTTCATGACCAAGAAATCTTTCAAGTCACACAACAAAGCCCTGTGTCTCTGTCCCTCAAGAAGCAAGGTTTGGGGTGTTCTGGAGTCTCTTGGATCGTTGGTATTTTTTCACCCCATTCCTCTTAGGTGCAGGTGTATGCTGGGTCACACCCACCTCCTCTCAACACGGGCATTTACAAGGGCAGTCACCAAGGGAAGTGGGTGGGGGAAGACTTTGCAAAATACCAAGCAGAATCTGGGCTTCCCAGTCCCTAACCTCAGACACTGCTGGTCTGGTCCGGTGGGAACTGACAGATCGGGCCTCCCGGATGATGGAACCAGGCTACACTCCGTGGGGTCCTTGATTGGATCCAACCTGCATTGAACCGCTGGGATCTTCCCAGAATCCCCCTACCCTTTTTCCATATGGGAAAAGAGCTGATGAGAGCGTTATCCCAAGACGGCCCCAACCTGCCCAAACCTGGTGGAAAAGGAATCCCGAGAGCCAGCTCTGGCCCATTACCCTGAGGCTCGCGCCTTCTCACACACATCCTAAATTTAGTCTTGGAGGTGTGAGTAGCCTAACTTTCGGCAGCGGCACTTTCCTCCAGAACTACACTTCCCAGCAGGCCTCGGGCAGAGCCCCGCCCGCGTGTGGGTGAGCTACAGTCCACCAGGGGCGGGCCTGCAGGCGAGTGGGGCGGGGACTGGGGGGAGCGGGGAAGCGGGTGGTGAGCCGGGAAGCACCAGGCTGGTCTGAGCTGCCCCGAGCTGGGCACAGGGCAGAGGCGGGGAAGGTAGGGGCTAGGGGGCGTGGCCTCTAGTCCGCGTGACAATGTGGGAGGATGGTCCGACGCCAGCGGCGGAGCTGGACTTCGAGACTAGGCGAGACCGAATGACCGGGGCGTGGCCGAGCAGCCAGGGGGCGGGGCCTGAGGACGGCCTCGGCAGTCCCCAGCGAGGCCGCGCCCCGGGTCGCACCGTACCAGCTCAACTTCTGCGAGCTTGGAGGGGATCTGCGGTAGCCTCCCTTCACCCCCACTTCTGGGGTCACTGCCGTGAGTGAGCCCCGAGGGAAGACCTTGGGTGGAGGGTGCTGGGGGAGTCTTTCCTGCACTTTCTCTCCTACAGATGAGTAGGTGGGGTGAACCTAGACACCTGGGCTCCTTTTTTGGGCCGCGGTCACCAGCTGGCGACCGGCCCCTTGACCTCAGTCTGTCCCTTCGGACATTATAGCTGCAGCATTGGCAGTGGGTGTAGGGTATTCCAGGCTGTAGACTCAGTCACTCGATACCCCCGGATCCCTTCGCTGCGCAGGACGGGGAGAGGGGGCCCGGATCGAGTTGCCTTTGACATTTCCACCCCGACCTTACCCCTGGGAATTGTGTTGGACAAACAACTCAACGTGGAATGGCCTCCCCTGAGTTGGGTTGGGCCTGACCCTCCCCGTTAGAGCTAGCTAGAGACCGGAAGCCAAGACTGAGGTTGACCATCAAGTGGGGAGAGGCTTGGCTAAGGCAAACCCCCACCTACCAGCCTTAGCCGGTGGTTGGCCAGATGGCGGAGGCGGCAGATTACAGGGGTCTCCAGGGCCACCGTTAACACCGGAACCACAGTCCCTGTACCAGATGCCATTAAAACTGCCACTTCCCAACCCCAAGAAGCCTTCCTGGAGCCAGCAGCAGCACCAGCCCTTGGGAGGACAGGCCTCACCATGCCCACATCCACCCGATGGAAGCCTGTCCCACCCCTTTGGCCACAAAGCTCCTTTCCTCTACTGCATTCAGAGAGCCAGTAATTATCTCCCATTCCTAAAACTTACCCTGTGGGGGTTAAACTGGGATTTTGGACTCAAGAAACCTTGCTATCTGAGTGACTTCAAACAAGCTCCTTTTTCTGTTTGGGCCACTATTTCCTCATCTGTAAAGTGGCACTGCTGCTGTGCACCCCCCGCCCCCACCTAGTTCAGTGTTATTGTTAGGGTTCAGGGCCTGTGGGTTTTTGTTCTTCACCAAAGAACCTCAGAACTGTAGTAAGAAAAGATTCTTAGAACCCAAGTGTTTGAAAAGGCTTTTGAGGACACCTTGGTGGCCTCTCCATGCCTCCAGGGGTCATTAGATGGTTGGCTTAATATGATAGTTTTGAGGATGAGCTATCTCTCTTATATTAGATACAGACCCTTTCTCCCTAGATGCCCAGAAGGCACCGTGGTTGTCTTGAATGAATTTTGGTGGCCTGGTCTGCCAAAGCCTGCTTTGGGTCTTGCTTAGCCTAAGGGCTTAAGGGTGTCCATGGTGGCTCAGGTGGTAAAGAATCTGCCTGCAATGAACCCAGGGTTCGATCCCTGGGTTGGAAAGATCCCCTGGAGATGGGCATGGCAACCCACTCCAGTATTCTTGCCTGGAGAATTCCATGGACAGAGGAGCCTGGTGGGCTACAGTCCATGGGGCCACAAAGAGTCAGACGTGACTGAGCGACTTAACACTAGCTTAAGGGCATCAGCTAAAGGCTACTGCCTACACTTTCCAGGACTTTTCTAACCTCCGCCTACAGGAAGGGAGTCCATAGTGAAGTGGGGGAATTTTGAAGGCTAAACCATGTAGGATGAGAGGAAGGGAGTAAGAGGCTGTTCTAGACCAGCTGGAACTAACCAATTTTGAGAGTTAGGGGAAGGAGCTCAGAGCATAAGGCCCCGAGATAGAACCTCACTGGTAGGGGGTGGGGGAGGATATTATTGGGAGCTGTATATTGACATCTGGGATCAAACTTCTGATCGGCACCTGGCATTCTTGATAATGTCTTTGGGGGAGGGGGGGGAGGTGAGACACCCGAGCAGTTCTGGCAAGTCCTTGGAAGTCTCTGGGGACTTGGAAACAGACACTGGAATCTGGGAGGAGTCTAATTACTGTTTGTCAGTCTCCTCTTTCCTCCCCACCATGCCCCCCCCAACCTCCAGCTGGAGCAGGTGGGCAGCTGGCGGGCTGGCAGTGTATATATCTGTGTATGCACCTGGTTGGCGCTATTTCTTTGTTGGACTCTGCCCTGAGGGCGGGGACAAGAAGGGTCAGTAGCCTTGAACAGCAGGTTGGGACATACCTCCTCCCAAGTTTGTGTTTCTCTGCAGTCATATCTGAGTCTTTAGCATACAATATGCATAAGTGTACATGTGTAATAGTGGATGTCTGACTGCCAGAGAGTTGGGGGTGGGGAAAAGAAACTGACCCAAGATGGGTGGGTGAAATTTCCTAAAGCAGGTGGCCTGAAGGATTTAGGTTAAGGAAGGAATGAGGTTGGTAGTCATAGGATAAGCCTGGGTGGAAATGGAATCAGAAGGACAGGTGAGACCATGTATGCCTTGAGCCTCAATTTGCAAAGCTTAGTCTTCTGAACATCATGGGGGTCTTGAACAGCTCCCTGAACTAGGGAGAGATGTAATCTGATAAGTGCTTTAGAAAGATCAGGTTAGTACCTGGGAGCAGAAGGCCTTGGGGGAAAAGAAGTTGAAATCAGGGAGGCCTATTGAGGAAGTGTTGCAATGGTACAGGAGAGAAGTAACAGTGCTCTCATGAGGATAGGAGCAAACAGGACAGTGGGAGAGTGCTGGAGACAAAGCCAGGAGGTAACTGGCCCACAGATGTGGGTGCTGGGAGCAGAGCAGGAAGGTGGGCAGGGACAGGGACTTGGTGGTCCTGATGGCTGAGAGTAGAGGGGCATTTGAGAGCAGAGAGGGAGATGTGAGAAGCCTCCAGGCCCTCATACTAAGCTCCTGACCCTTTCCTAATGTCCATACCCACCCTGCCCTCCCCCCACCCCAAACCAGGCCCTAGGACTGAGTCTGGCTTCAAGTAACTTGTCCAATCTCCAGATTTAATATGACTTCTGACTCAAGATTAAATTCCATGTCTGAGCTGTTCCCCTTCCTTTCTCCTCTCCCCCTCCTGCATGGGGAAGCCAGCCCTATGCAGCCCTATGCACAGTGTTAAAGGTCTCAAGGAGCTTGCAGGCTTATCTGCCTTCTCACAATCATGGCCACCACTCTGGGAGACTAGGCCTTCTCCAGATCCTTCCCCTTCTCATCAGCCTGAACAGCCCCCATGTGTGATCCAGGGAGGCCTGATTAATTCTGTGATCCTGGACAGCTCCCTGACTCTGTCTGGGTTTGTTCCTCCACCAGGAAAATGGAGATGCATGTCATCTGCCCCTCCCCTTTCAGAAAGTGAAAGTGTTAGTCGCTCAGTCATGTCCCACTCTTTGAGACCCCATGGACTGTAGCCGGCCAGGCTCTTCTGTCCATGGAATTTTCCAGGCGAGAATACTGGTGTGGGTTGCCATTCCCTTCTCCAGGGGGCTTTCCCAACCCAGGGATCAAGCCCCAGTCTCCTGCATTGCAGGCAGATTCTTTACCTTCTGAGCTACCTCTCCTTTAAGAGTCCTGACTAATTTTGGCAAACAGGGTGCCCATGAGAAAGGGTAGGTAAGGTGCAGACAGAACATCCTGGTAAGAGTAAAGTCTTGACATCCCAGTATACAACTGCCCAAAATACACACTTCTTTCTTACAAAAGCAAATGTAAATACTGTGGAATGAGAAGGCTCAGTGCCACCTCTCTCTTCCCCTTCCTGAATCAGGCCGGCCAGGTTCAGATTGGCTTTGTCGGGTGGCCCGCCTGCCCGCTCCTTCCTTAACTGGGGGCTGATGCCCCAGAATTCTCAGGAGAATTCCCAGACCTACCCCCGCCGCCGCTCTGGGAGCCACACAGGTCATAAGACTCCCGAGACCGTCGCAGCCGCAACCATGTACACCTTCTTGCCTGACAACTTTTCCCCTACCAAGCCCAAGCCGTCCAAAGACCTGAAGCCGCTGCTGGGCTCCGCGGTGCTGGGGCTGCTGCTGGTGCTGGCCGCGGTGGTGGCCTGGTGCTACTACAGCGCCTCTCTACGAAAGGCGGAACGCCTGCGCGCCGAGCTGTTGGATCTCAACCGCGGTGGCTTCTCCATTCGCAACCAGAAGGGCGAGCAGGTGTTCCGCCTGGCCTTCCGCTCGGGCGTCCTGGACCTGGATTCCTGCAGCCGCGACGGCGCCCTGCTTGGCTGCTCTCGCACAGCGGATGGGCGCCCGCTGCACTTCTTCATCCAGACCGTGCGACCCAAGGACACAGTCATGTGCTACCGCGTGCGCTGGGAGGAGGCGGCTCCGGGGCGCGCGGTGGAGCACGCCATGTTCCTGGGCGATGCTGGGGCGCACTGGTACGGCGGCGCTGAGATGAAGACCCAGCACTGGCCCATACGCCTGGACGGCCAGCAGGAGCCACAGCCCTTCGTCACCAGCGACGTCTACTCCTCCGATGCAGCCTTTGGCGGCATCCTCGAGCGCTACTGGCTGTCGTCGCGCGCGGCGGCCATCAAGGTCAACGACTCGGTGCCCTTCCACCTGGGCTGGAACAGCACGGAGCGCTCTCTGCGACTGCAGGCGCGCTACCACGACACGCCCTACAAGCCGCCCACTGGCCGAGCCGCTGCACCCGAGCTCAGCTACCGCGTGTGCGTCGGCTCGGACGTCACCTCCATCCACAAGTACATGGTGCGGCGCTATTTCAACAAGCCGTCGAGGGTGCCAGCACCCGAGGCCTTCCGGGACCCCATCTGGTCCACGTGGGTGCTGTACGGGCGCGCGGTGGACCAGGACAAGGTGTGGCGTTTCGCCCAGCAGATCCGCCAGCACCGCTTCAACAGCAGTCACCTGGAGATCGACGACATGTACACGCCTGCCTACGGCGACTTCGACTTCGACGAGGCCAAGTTTCCCAACGCTAGCGACATGTTCCGCCGCCTGCGCGACGCTGGCTTTCGTGTCACGCTTTGGGTGCACCCGTTTGTCAACTACAACTCTTCCCGCTTTGGCGAGGGCGTGGAGCGGGAGCTGTTTGTGCGCGAACCCACCGGCCGGCTGCCAGCTCTCGTGCGCTGGTGGAATGGCATCGGCGCAGTGCTTGACTTCACGCGCCCCGAGGCCCGCGACTGGTTCCAAGGACACCTAAGGCGACTGCGCTCGCGCTACTCCGTGGCCTCCTTCAAGTTTGACGCTGGCGAAGTCAGCTATTTGCCCCGGGACTTCAGTACCTACAGGCCGCTGTCTGATCCCAACATCTGGAGCCGGCGCTACACGGAGATGGCGCTGCCCTTCTTCTCGCTGGCCGAAGTCCGCGTGGGCTATCAGTCCCAGAACATATCGTGCTTTTTCCGCCTGGTGGACCGCGACTCGGTGTGGGGCTACGATCTGGGGCTGCGCTCGCTCATCCCCGCGGTGCTCACCGTCAGCATGCTGGGCTACCCCTTCATCCTGCCCGATATGGTGGGTGGCAACGCTGTATCTGAGCGCTCAACCAGCGGCGGCGATGTGCCGGAGCGCGAGCTGTACGTGCGCTGGCTGGAAGTGGCCGCCTTCATGCCAGCTATGCAGTTCTCCGTTCCGCCCTGGCGGTACGACGCTGAAGTGGTGGCCATCGCGCACAAGTTCACGGCGCTGAGGGCCTCGCTCGTGGCGCCACTGTTGTTGGAGCTGGCGGGTGAGGTCACTGACACGGGCGACCCCATCGTGCGCCCCCTCTGGTGGATCGCGCCCGGCGATGAAACGGCGCATCGCATTGACTCACAGTTTCTTATCGGAGACACGCTGCTCGTGGCACCCGTACTGGAGCCGGGCAAGCAGGAGCGGGATGTCTACCTGCCCGCAGGCAAGTGGCGCAGCTATAAAGGTGAGCTTTTTGACAAGACGCCAGTGCTGCTCACCGATTACCCCGTTGACCTGGACGAGATCGCTTACTTCATCTGGGTATCCTGACCCAGCCCAGGGCCCAGAAACCTAGCAGCCCTAATCCTAGTCTTCATGTAGGCCTTTAACCCTCAAAATCACAACCATGTATCCCCTGGGAAGTCCCCAACTTTATACCACCCACTAAGTGGGTAATTGACCTAAATGTGCTGGAACCGGCTCCTGTAGTGCGGGGGAGAAGACACTGAAGCAACCACCCCCACCCCCAACTCCAGTGCACAATTGTTACAGCCGTCCTCTCCAGGGGCACTCCAGTCTACAGAAACTCCTTCCCTTGGATGGGGCAAGAGAGCTCAGAGGAAAAAAATCAGCTCTCTTCCTGTAAAACACAGTTGGGTTTTAAACGCACAGAGAGGGGGAACTTCCCGTGGTGGTCCAGTGGTTAGGACTCCATCCTTCTGCTGCAGGGGGCTGGAGTTCAGTCCCTAGTAGGGAAACAAGATCCTGCATACCACAGTGGCCAAAACGAAAACAGAAAGGCACAGAAAGAAGCCTCACCTTCTGTCTTTGTCCTTCTGAAATGGTGACTTGGTCCTCTTGAAGGTCCCAAAATAGCCTCCTGCCACATTCTTGGTGTTGGAAAGGGCCAGGCCCCGAGTTCTCAGCACTCGCCTGACCTGTGGCTGACCTGGTCCCACCCAGCTGGCCACAACGGATGGAGGTACTTGGCCAACTGACAAGGAAGCAAGTGGTCCCCTCCCAAAGGCCGGGAGGACAGAGCCATCGTCATTGCGCCTCGTTTGAGAAGAGACTCCTAACCCCGTCCTAAGGCATCTGTGAACACACATGGTTCAGCCCTGGGCCAGGGCCACTGCCTGATGGGCAAAGACTCGCAAGGCCATGCAGGCCAGACTTGGTGCCTTAACTCAAGAACCTGTGTGTGTGTTCTGTGTGTATGTGTGTGTGTGAGACAGAGAGGCACACGGGTCCCTGGGTCTGTGGAATTAACACAACACCTCTGAGGCTGCATAAGCCTGGAGGGAGGGGGCAGGGAGCAAACTTGAGGTTTCGACCTTGAACCTGGTCCCTTCCTAGGTGATGCCCCTGGGACTCTCATAGAAAATAAACAGCCCTGTCTAGATTTCGAAGCTGCCTCACTCCATATACACATGGCAGAGGTGTGGCTTAAAAGGGAGCCATGTTAGGCAATTCCCTGGTGGTCCAGTGGTTAGGACTCCACGCCTCTTCCACCACAGTGGGCGCAAGTTTGATCCCCAGTTCAGGAATCCCGCCAGCTGGGTGGGAAAATAGGGGGCAGAAAAGACCAAAAAAAAAAAAGGGGAAGTGGGGAAAGGATGTTTTTATTCTGGTGGTGGTGTGCTTCAGCACACAAACTATTGCATACAGCGACACCCACAAATATACACACAGGGTAAGATTTTTCATTTTAGTAATTTTTCTTTGCTAAGAAGAGCAGCCAGAGAGTTTTTTCTTCCTTTGCAGCTGAGTCTGGGGAAGGAGTGGCTTGCCAGCGGTGGAGAGGTGGAAAATAGGGCAGGGTTCAGCTTCCCTTAACAGCTCTGACAGCAGAATCAGCCCCTCACCCCCTAGAGAATGCATCTCTTTGCCCACTCCTCCACCCCTTTGTGGAGAATTCTTTGTGAAGAATTCTAGTGAAACTTTAGGAGCACTCACTCCTGATTGTACCACTCATCTATAAACTGTGTGGCCTTGAATAAGCTGCTTCACCTCTCTGAGCCTCAGTTTCTTCATCTATAAAATGGTGATAATAATGCCTACCTCCCAGGTTGTTGTGGGAATTATAAGCACAGATGTATGTAAAGTGCCTGGCACAAGTAGGTGCTCAATAAAAGCTATTATAGTAGTTTTTTTTTTTTCTTGCTTAAAAACAACATGGATTTTTTTCCAGGCTCCAGGTCCCAGCCCAGCTGGCTCGCTCTGAGCACTCAGTTGAGCTCTGAGTTTGTGACCTGGGGGACACTGTGGTCCAGGAGAAAGGCAAGAGAAGAGACATCTGAAGTAGAATGTCAGGAGCCAGGAGTCCCCAGGAGATGGGGAGTACATGGAATTAGCTTCCCTCTCTTTTTGGTCAAGAGCATTTACCAGTCAATATTCAGTGATGAGCCTTCCTAGGTCCTGGTCCACAGCCATGAGATATGTGTGGAGTGACTGTAGAAGGAAGACATGTAAGCTGGGTCCTGGGAAGTTTCCTAAGTGGCCGGAGAGCATGACTCACACTTAAATGGCCCTCCACTTCAGACTATGCAGTCTGAAACAGTTGACCTAACCTCTCAAGCAATGGCTTCTTTATCTTTAAAATAGAATTTCTAGGACTCATTGAGAAGTGTCTGTAAAGTACTTATGTAAAAATTGGCAAGGAGTAAGTGTTTAGTAAATGGTAACTCCTATTAACTCTTGATTGTAAACAAGGACTGAAGGAAAACTGCCTAAAACTTGTGCTGTATCCTACTGGGTAGCCTCTAGTCACATGTCACTTCTTAAATTTAATTTTTAAATAAATGTAATTAAAAATCCAGTTCTTCAGGCACGCTAGCCACATTGCAAGTGTTCAAAAGCCATGTGTGACTAGTGGCTCACATGTTGGACAGTTCAGATTACAGAACATGTAGCATAAAGTTCTACAGCCCAGCACCAAGCAAGTGTGTGCTGAAATGGCATGGGAGGGTGGGGGTGGGTAAAGTCATCTGGCCTGGAGGAGTGTCCTTTAGAAGAGCACTGAAGGAGTTCCCTGACTGTCCAGCAGCTAGGACACCATGCTTCCACTGCAGGGGGCTAGGGTTTGATCCCTGGTCATCAGGGAACTAAGATCCCACAAGCCATGTGGGTGGCCAATTGAAAAAAAAAACCAAATGAAGTCAAATGTTAAGAATTTTAAGGCCCACCTCTGCGATCTCGGCTGCGGCGGGAGAGGTGGTCTGGGAAGTAGGTACCTTTGAACTGCCGGCTGCGCCACGTCTGTCCGCTCCGAAGCGGGAAGCGCCTATTCCCCAGGACATCAATGCAAGCCTGAATTAAAAAAAGAATTTCTCCCTCCGAAGCCATGGCATATCAGTTGTATAGAAATACCACATTGGGAAACAGTCTTCAGGAGAGCCTCGATGAGCTTATACAGTCTCAACAGATCACCCCCCAACTTGCCCTTCAAGTTCTGCTTCAGTTTGATAAAGCTATAAATGCAGCATTGGCACAGAGGGTCAGGAACCGAGTCAACTTCAGGGGCTCTCTAAATACATACAGATTCTGCGATAACGTGTGGACTTTTGTATTGAATGATGTTGAATTCAGAGAGGTGACAGAACTTATTAAAGTGGATAAAGTGAAAATTGTAGCCTGTGATGGTAAAAATACTGGCTCCAGTACTACAGAATGAGTAGAAAAAAGAAGTGGCTTTTTTAATGCCATCCTGTTACCGTTCATCGCTTTTTGAAGAGAAGCATAGAAGAGACTTTTTTTTTTAATATTCTAGCATTGCAGAAATGACTACTCTGTGCTATACTATCAGAGAATTCCAATAGAAAGAAGCTCATAACTCTGTACCCTCTTTAGTATACAGCATGAAAAAACAGAACTTTTTTTTTTTAATGACAAATCAAACATTGTTGCCTTCCTAGGACCATTCCTTAATAAATTCATTTTAAAACTCAAAAAAAAAAAAAAAAAGAATTTTAAGAGGGCATTGAGGGCAGGCAGCTCAGCTGGAGGAGGGGACACGCCATGCCCACTGAGCACTCACTGTCTGCTAGGGCAGGGCCAGAGGGCAGAGTGCCCTTGACTGGCCACATCCCAGCCAAATGGGCCTTGACTTGTAGTCTGGTTTCTAGTCTGGCCTCTGCATTGACCTCATTAATCACAAAAGCACAGATGAACAAACTAAAACACTGAGAGAAGGAAGAGGGCATTGACTTGAGTCACACAGATTAGTCCCCAAGGCTGGACTGGAACCTGATGTTCTGTATTGAGATACCTAGAATCTGCCACCCAGGCTTCACCCATCTTTCAACAGCCTGGCCCAGCTCCTGTCTGTACACATCCAAGGTTGTGAAATCACGGAAACGTATGTCTTTGAAGCAGCCACCCAATGGGTCCGATTCAAGACCAAGAATGTTTCCCTTTCCCCCACTGACAACAAAAAAGAGGTTCAAGAAGTTGGGGGGTGGTGGCTGGAATGGTAGGAACCATGAGAAAGAGCTGGTCTTGGGATGGGGGGAGGGGAGGGACCAGGACTAAAAGCTCCCTCTAGCCATTTGCTAGGATGCCAGAAACTCTGCCCCCTTGGAGCCTTGTCCAGCCCCCCACCATCCCTGCCAGCACCTCTTGTACATTCCATGTTTATCTCTGCACATCGGGGTGGGAGGTAGGGCAAATCCCCCTCAATGGAGCTTCCAGCAGCCTCGTCATGGCCATTCCCCACTGGTCTTTTCTGTACCACTCAGGGTGGGGGTGGGGAGGCTGGTATGCAGGAATGGAGAGCTCCTTCTCCAGAGGTAATGGGGGGGAGCTTGAGTGGACACTGCAGAATATCTGAGACTGGGGACTAGCACCCCTGTTCTGTGACCACGTACAGCCTTAGAGTCTGCCCCAGTTTCCCTTCCAGCACTATATGAGTTGGCTGAACTCTGGCCAAGTCCTCTCTCAAGACCAAGATTTGAATTTTCTGGGAGGCTCTTTGCTCTGTTCTCCCAGATTTGGGCAAAGGATCCCTCACCCTGGTTGGCTACAGAGCCAGTAAGTCTTTTGTTGGTTCCCCTCACCAGGATTTCTGGTCCCTTTTCTCAAATCTGAAGCAGTATTGACCTCTCCATCTCCTGGCCACTACCCCATGTCAGATCTTATCAGTTCTAGCCTGGATCATTACAGTGGATTCCTCACTCTGTCCACTCTTGAACCCTTCAATTCAATCAGTATAGCAGGCAGCCAAGCAAATCTTTCTGAAATTCAATAAGGTCATTTAGGAAAAAATTCAAGCTCTGATGTTCAAGACCTCTAAGATCTAAATTCTTCTCACACTTCTGTTTTGCTCACATGCACATGCTTATGAGCATATTTTGAAAATCATTTGAAGAGATACTCCCTTCTGTTCTGGGAACAGCTGCATAGCCCATCCCTATGAGAGGAGGCCTGCCCAGACCAGCTTTGAAGAAGACTGCAGTGGCAGCCGGAAGATTTCCTTTCCTGCCATTGTCCAACTCAGTGGGACTTCTGTGGACGCCCTCCCCTCTTTGAACACACCCCAGCTCCCAAGGAACAACATGGTTTTTATCTTCAGGCTAGCTATTTTATTTCATCATGCCCAAGAATCTTTCCAGCAGCTTGAGGGGAGGAGAGAATTTCTTTTTTTCAAGGCACTTTACCATTTTAATGGACTATAGGGGAAAAGAGAAACTGAAATTTTTGTTAAATTGAGGCATCAGTAACATATTAACTTCAGGTATTCAGTGTAATGATTCGTTATTTGTATATATTGCTAAATGATCACCACAGTAAGTCCAGTTAACAGCTGTCATCAGTTACAAAAAATTTTTTTTCTTGTAATGAGACCATTCAAGATCCACTCTCCTACCTACTTTCAAATATGCGACACAGTATTAACTATAGTCACCATGCTGTTCATTACAGCCCAATGACTGTATGTATTTATTTTATAACTGAAAATTTGTACCTTTTCACCCTCTCACCCATTAAGAGAGGAGAGAATTCTTGGCTTTATGAGGTTAAGCCCTGAGTCTGAGGGTGGGGTAGGGGGAGTGGGGAAAACTAAAGAGGAAGAGGCTCAGTCCCTGGGCGGGGAGGGGGTCCCGGTCTGAAGAACAGGAAGAGACTCTGCCTCTGACTCAGTATCCTAGTGCTGTCTTTCCCATTCATAGCCCCTTTCCCCTCCTCAGGGGGTCCTGTTGAGAGCTTCCTATTACATAATCTGAGGTGGAGGCAGGGTAGGAGGGGAAGGAAGTGAAGGGGGAGGGTTAGAAGGAAGGTGGAGAGCAAGCTTCGCTGGACTTTGTAGCTCAGCCTCTAGGGGGCTGCAGTGGGGTTGGCACTGCCCCCCTCTAGAGCCTAAGGGACCCGCTGGATCACTCAGGGAGCAGTCAGCCTCTGCTTCTCACCAGTGGGGGCCCCACCTGGGGTCCCACACTGGCACCAGTATTTCAATTTGAATTCTACAATTAAAATCACCCCTATAGCTTCATGCCTTTAGATCTTCAATTCAGCAAACTGCTTACTGTGGAGGTGTAAGATACTGCTTCTGAGAGTCAAGAGGGCATTTTGGTTTTCCAGAGCCTCTATCAAAGGCCCCCAAGAGGGGGCAACTTAGGACCACCCTCGTGGGGATTAATTTACTAGACGCTTCTTCACCCCAGGATGGGCTTCCCTGGTGGTTCAGAGGGTAAAGAATCTGCCTTCAATGCAGGAGACCTGGGTTCAATCCCTGGGTCAGAAACCCCTGGAGAAGGGAATAGAAAACCACTCCAGTATACTTGCCTGGAGACTTCCATGGACAGAGAAGCCTAGTGGGCTATAACCCGTGGGGTTGCAAAGAGTCAGACACGACTAAGGACTAACATTTCACCCTGGGGTGGTGCAGGTGGTAGTGGAGAAAATAAGTGCGACTCCAAGAGAAGCCTCTTTGGGTGTAGGTGGGGACAGAACAGTGTTTAGAGAATGAGTGGTTGTCAGGGAAAGCTTCCAGGAGGAGATGCTCTGGAACCTGGTTGGAGGGCCTGAGTCTGAAGGGGAAATTGTAGTCTTAGCCCCATAACCCTTGAACAAGCCCAGGCAGCCAAAAGCAAAGTGGTGATGACAACAAAGCCCACTCACCTGTTAGACCCCAATCTCGGTTCTGCTCTCACCCTCCCTCATCCATTGCCCATTAACATGCCCCAGTCGCACCTGTCAATTCGTCCCACAAAGTGAGCAGCTGAATGCAATTTATCCACCCCCCTTCTCCAAAGTACCTGTGTTTTAATGGAAAACTCTGTAAGGCCTAGAAGAATGACTCCAAAGCTACACAAGATATTCTAAAATAAGAGTCCCCTCAGGCACCTAATTCTCGAAGGACCTCACATATAGACAATTGCCAGGGCCATCCAGCTTCTTAAGCCTCTACATTCCCAGCTTAACAACAACAAAAAAAAGAGCAGCAGAATCAGGTCATTTTCCAGGTCCATTCGAACTCGGGTGTACAAGCGCTGAGCATTTTGAGATTCCACAGACTCCCTCAGACTCCCATGCTGAGAGCACAGGGCCGGCCAGCCCTCATTAGGAGGCAGCCAGTCTGTGGTTTGGCACCACTGCCCAGCAGGCATGTATTGAATCAGTAGGATGTGGTCCCTGCTGGCTTGGAAAGAGAACACTAAGCTCCAAAAACTTCCTGCAGCAGGCCTCCTTCAGGGAGTGCAGCTTGGAGGGGTGAGGAACAGAACCGTTCAGGCCCCTGGCGGGGCTCCAAGATCCTGTTCACTAGTACTTCTGCCCTGTCTACACGGAGGGGCGGTGACCGAAAACATCTGGAAGCCTGTCGGAGACCCGGGCGACTTCTCTATTTTGTCTAGGGGTGCCTGCTCTTGACCCTGGTAATCCAGGTTGACCTTTGCCAATGCCGCTTCCCAGCCAATCTTCCGCACTTCATTGGGCAACAACCCTCTAATGAAATCCACATGAACCCAGCTGCTAACAGCTCCTGGAAGGGCTGTAGGATCTAACACCTTCCCTGCGTTCTGTGAGCCCTAGTAGCAAGGGGAAAGAGGGCCACGGCCCAACTCTTGCGCCTCTGGATCTTCCGGCAGAATTGTGGAGAAAGGGAGTAGGTAGGAAGAGAGGAAGGCCAATGAGCAAGGCCTGCTAAAGGTGGAGAAGGCCGCAGCAGGCGAGGGCGGCACAGGGGAGTGACAGGGCTGCAGGTGGCCCAGCAGAGGCCCCAGGCTCAGGCCTGCTCCTCGCCAGTGACCTCAGTCACACTGACACCACGCTGACCGTGGGAGTCGGGACTGGGCTGGGAGGCTGGAGTGTGTGTCATTGACCTGGTGGCCCAGGGCTGCCTGACCCTTCTGTCCCTGCTGTGACTGGGGATCTGTTCCAATGTTCTCTGGGTCTCTATTTTAGGAAATACTTACTGAGCACCTGCAACATGTGTCCCTGGTGCCAGGAGAAGATACATTAGTGAGTACAATTGTACTCTGTTATCTGTGGAGGACTGGGGGACCCACTGTGGATACCAAACTCCGCAGGTGTTTGAGTCCCACTGTGGGTCCTCGACACCTGTGGATATGGTGGGCAGACCCAATTCCTTCACTCCAGTCCCACTCACTTGTATGTCCTGTCCACTAAAAGCTACACATCTTGGGCATGTCGGTGGGGTGGGGTCAAAGTGCTTGGAGGTCCAGGGGCAGAAGAGCTACCCTGGTCATGTTGGGTCTTCCTGATTCTGACTCCCTCCCTCAGCTTCTCTGGGGTACAGTGGTTGGGCCCAGGGTTCCCTCCGGCTAAGGTTGGAGCTCTTATCCACTCTCGTTTTTCTCCACCAACCCCCCACGCCCCGAGCAAAAGTCCATGAAATAAATACAGCAGGTTAGAGGGAGAGAGAAGCTGCTTGAAGTTTATTCATAAAGTATAACGAGGCACTCACTGGACCTGGGCTTTTTTTTTTCTTAAACTCCTCCTTTCCCTTCCTTTCCACCTAGCTGAGATTCTTGCTTGCTCTCTTCTGAGAGTCCTCAGCTGATTTTACTAGCCTCTCTGCTCTCTGCTATAATGAGCCAAAGACCAAGGAAGTGAAGTGAAGGCAGTTCATGTCAGAAGGCCCTGAAGGATCCTACTGAGGCAAAAGGCCGACTCTGGTCAGTTCAGGTCGCTGTGGAGCAGAGAAACTGGTGTCCTTCTTGGAGTGCTGCCTTCATCTCCTCAAACTGAGCCAACTGGCAGGCATCCTCCAGCCCCAGCCAGCGGTAGGCTTGGTGCTCGTGGGAGAGGCGGACCTCCACATCGCAGTCCTTTACCTCCGCCAGCCAGTAGATGACGATTTTAGGCTTCTCCCTGGCCACGTAACTGAGCTCCCTTCTGAAGCCCTCAATGATGGTCAGCTGGCCTGCTTCTATGCCTGCTTCCTCCTGGGTCTCCCGAAGGGCTGTTTCCAAGTCACTTTCTCCTGGTTCCACATGGCCTGGTGAGGAAAAAAGAAGAGGAAGCAAATATAATCATCAACAAAGCTAGATTTTCCAGGTCAGATGATTTAAAGCTGGGGCCTCTGGTAACTTTTCTAGGTGTCCCCAGGCTTTGGCAATATCCTATACTGGCAGGGAATAGGGTAGAGGACAGGGAGGGTCTGGCTCTGTGGTGTCTGGCCAAGACCCTTCCCCACCCCATCTTCGCTACAGACAGTGAAACAAACCATACATTTGGCAAGTCTGGTCTAGAATGCTGCTCCTCCATGTGGAAGAATCGGCCTCGCCCAGACCTCTGCTCTATTTTCCTCTGGAGCTCTCTTCATCCCATGTTCTCAGGGGGACCCTTCCCTGGGAGACCTTAACGTGACTCTCCCAAGGAGGGGTGGTCCTTTCTTGCCAGGTGGGAGCTGGCTGAAGAGGGAGGTCTTCGCTTATAGCCCACAGTGAGGACTTAACACTGTCTGCAGTTGGTGACCGAAGTCCCAGGGCCAATGGTCAGGCTCTAAACCCTATACCAAGGCACCGGCAGCTGTTTCCAAGTAGCTATCAAGGCTCTTCCAAATTGTTTTCATCTTTCTAACTGAGTAAGGCCAGATTCCAGTTTCATAGGGAAAGTCCTGATGGGAACTTAGACTAAGGACAAGCCGAGAGCCAGTTCTAAGAAAATTTGTTGGCAAGGACCAAACCCAAGCAGACAACTGCCAAGAAACTGTTGTGAGAGAACTTGAAGCTCTGCAGACTGGAAGCAGCCCTTCGCTTTGCCTCAAGGCCCTCCCTGCAAATTCTCAGCTTGCCCAAGGGGGCCAAGAAGGCCTGGGAGGGGTCTGGCAGCCTCGATCAACACATGGCTTCAACAAGTTGCTGGGGGCCTCCTGGTTCGGGAGCTCCTGGGAAGGAGGAATTCTTCACCGTTCTCTTCTTAGCTCAAAGACAGGGCTACATCCCAGTCTCCTCCTTCCTGGGGGTCCCCAGAGCAGCGCCCCAGTCAGCTGCTGCTGCACAGCTCCCAAAGAAAGCAACCAGGAGTCTGGACTTAAAATTCCATTTCTGTCCATGGCTGCTGGGGCATTTTCTCTGGAAGCACCTCATATAGCCGTGGACACAAAGATAGGCAGGTACTGCGTCGGGGGAGGCAGGTGGGAGGGATGCTGGTGGGCAGAGAGGTGATGCTGATTCGGGATGTTTGACCTCGCCTCAGAACTGTGTGCGAACCTCTGAGCACACCCCACCCAATAGCATCTATTCAGCATTCTGCCCATCAGTGCTAAGATGGTAACTTCTCCCCCGCCTGAGGCAGGGAAAATTCAGAGATTTCCTTTGAAATCTTTCATTGAGAGGCACCATGCAGTGTGACTCAGGTGGTCAGGAGGCAAGTGTGAATATTCCTATTCATAGTATTGGTGACACCTCTTTTTTTTTTTCCCACTTTGTTTCTTCCCAGTGAAACTCAAATGTGCCAATTTTTTTTCCTGTTCCCACTTCCTTGTTCTCCAACCTTAAGATGTTAGTCGCTCAGTCGCATCCGACTCTTTATGACCCCATGGATTACAGCCCACCAGGCTTCTCTGTCTATGGAATTCTCCAGGCAAGAATACTAGAGTGGGTAGTCATTCCCTTCTCCAGGGGATTTTCCCAACCCAGGGTTCGAACCTGGGTCTCTCAAACTGCAGGCAGATTCTTTACCATCGGAGCCACCAGAGAAGCCCTCCTCCAACCCTGGAGGAGCCTTGCTCACCTCCCGCCCCCCCCCCCCCCCACTTTCCCTTAAAGTCTCTGCTCCCTTCTCTCTGGGGGCTGTTCACTCTTAACCTGTAGCCCAGGAATGCCCTGGCCCCAGGGTCCCCAGTGGCCAGCCCAGTGACTCTTCTCGTTCCCCACCATTCACTGGGGAGACTGACGCTCTGGTGACCGATACAAGAAAACCTGGTATTCAGTCGCAGAGTTCTATTTCGGTTCTTCTCTGGCCTGGCATGTAGACCTTGTATGCAGAAAGGACCGAGAGCTTCTGCCCACACACCCACCTCCTGCTACACAATCACTGGGAAGCAAGTGCTGTAGGGTGCCTGGCAGTGTGGATTTCTGAGCAGCACCTGGCATTTCCCCACAGCCCACCCCCTGGCCTCCCACCTTTGGGAGGAGTCCAGTGATGAATGCCATCTGATGCCTGCAGCAGTAGAAACTCAATTGCAGCGTTGTCCACCTTGGGGATGAGGCGTCTTCGGAAGATGATCAAGCCACATGCTCTCAGGGCCATGGTCTATCTGAAGGCGTAACAAATATGTGCCAAGTTACACAAAACAGGAAGATCCATACTGAGGAGGCCGGAGCGGGGCAGCACTCTGGTGCCGGGGAGTCACACAGACGAGCTAACAGTGACCTCATCACCTACATGCTGAGGACCAATGTGGAGAAGCCAGGAGTCAGACACAGGCCTTTGTGTCTAACTGCAGGCCCCGGTCTCTAGCTGGCAGTGTGGGTCTGTCCCAACTTTTCCAGGTCTCCTTGCCAGAACAGGGCCCATGTGTGCATGTAGAGATGGGAGATCCTTAGGTGCAAACTCACCAAAACTGGAGAGCTGCTGGGAATGGGAGAGACGCAGTACAATGTCATCATCAAATCCACAATCCCATTTCCCTCAGCCTCCAGCTTGAGACTCTGGAGCAGAGAGACCCCAAAGTATGGTTTCTTTGTATTTTTTAACTTCTATCGTTTATTTATTTTGGGGGTACAGTTGATTTACAATGTTGGTTAGTTTCTGCCGTACAGCAGAATGAATCATTATACATATACCCACTCCATTTTAGATTCTTTTCCATATAGGTCATCACAGAGTATTGATTAACATTCTCTGGGAAACAATGTGGTTTCTGATGGCTTAGAAGGGTCACTTAGGAATGGTGGCTTAGTGTTCTAAAAATTTATTTGTTACTGGTTTTTTCAGTCTTTTATGTTTTGGAATGTGATACATTCACATGGTCCAAAATTCAAAATATAAATAGGGGCACCCATGGTAGACACTCTTCCCATCCCATTAGAGGCGAACTAGCAGAGTGGTCAAGAGTATGAACCTGGAGCCTGGGTTCAAGTTCAGGCTCTGCCACTCATTCACCATGTGATGGGCTCCTAAGGCTGTTTCCTCAGCTGTGAGACAGGATAATAACAGCTCTGCTCTAATGGGTTGCTGTGAGGATTACATGACTTAACTCTGTCAAATGGTTTAGAACAGTGCCTGCTGATTAATAAGCACTCAATAGACTTCAATAGGCACAGAAAAATGTCTGTGCATCATTAATACCATTTTCTGGAGGATGAGATTATGGGGAAACTTTCCTTTTCTGCTCCATATATATCTGTATTATTTGGAAAATTTACAGAGAACATTAACTTCATAATCAGCCATACAATAACAACAGAGTTTTTTTAGTCTTTTCCATTTAGTCTTCTTTGCACTGCAGGAAAAAATGTCAACAACAAAAGACAGGAGGGACTTGCCTGGTGGTCCAGACTTTAAGACTCTAGGATTCCACTGCAGGGGGTGTGGAACTAAGATCCTGCATGCCATGCTTGCAGCCAATAACACACACACACACACCCCAAAAAACATGGAAGATCCTTTCAGTAAGGCCCTGCTAAAGAAAAACTTGTGGCATTTGTTCATGCAGCAAATATTTATGGAGCACCTACTATGTACCAAGTACTGTGCTAGGCCTTTGCCCTTGCATGAATATAGAATATAGTTTATAGTCTAGTAGGAGAGGAAGACTTTAAATAGTTAAGCAAATTTAAAGACATTTGTCAATAAGGTCTGTGTTCCAAAAGGAAAATGTATGATTGGAAACTTGACCTTGCCTGAGGGATCAAGGTATGCTTCCTACACTTGATCTTAGCCAACAGGCCGAGAAGCGATAAGGAATGCTTCCTGAAAGAAAGGTGTTTGAGCAGAGAAGTAAAGGATGAGTAAAGGTAAACTGGCAAAGGGAAGGAGGAATGTGTGCTCCAGGTGGGGGGAACGGCATGGATAAGGGTTCCCAGGTGAGATGGCAGAACTGGAAGAAAACCAGGTGTCTAAAGCACAGCTGAGGTCTGAGGGACTGGCCCAAGCTCCAAGGCCTCGTCTGCAGGATTCCAGGGCCGGAGAAGAAGCAGGTGCTCCTGGGTGGCACAACTGATGCTGAGAGGAGTGGCTGGAATAGGAGTGGATGATCTCCACGGCCCCCTTGATGCTGCTCAATCAAGATGAGCTTCCCTGGCAGTCCAGTGGTTAAGCATCTGCCTTCCAATGCAGGGTTCAACCCCTGGTTAGGGAACTAAGATCCCACGTGCTGTGGGGCAACCAAGTCCATGTGCCACGACCGCCAGGCCTGAGCTCTGTGGAGTCTGTGACCCTCAACAAGAGAACCCCCGCACCACAGTGAAGACCCAGTGCAGCCAAAATAAGTAAGAATTAAAATGTGTTTTTAAAAAAATGAGGTAGAGACAAAAATGTGCTGCTTGTAAAACAATTTTCAGACACATTAAGTGGAAAAAGAATGGCTCATAACAGTATGTAAAGTGTGGATCCTTCCGAGTTTAAAATTCATATATAAACTGCTATCAGGGCTTTTATTAAATGTGGTGTTCTGCTCCCTGGTCTCCCAGGGAATAAATACATGCTAAGGACTTTATTCTGGAAGCCAGAAGGAACCCTGTCACCAAAGAACTACTGAAGAAAGATTTCAAATTACTGGTTACAGATTTAGGTGGGAATAGGTACCTGATCCCAGGCCTTCCTATCGTGATGCTCAGAAAGCATAAGCAAGTTACAGGCGTAGGGTACCTTGCCCTTGCTTCGAGTAGAGTCCCATGAGATGGATGTTGGGACAAGTTTAGGGATCCAAGGCTAGAGGGCACAGTGCCCGGCCTAGGACAGGAAGCCCCTGGGCATTCTTTCACACCACTGCCGTCACCCACACTGCATGAGGAAACAAAGATGCCTCCATGGGGGCCAAGAGAGACAAGCCTGCGGTGGCCATGTGGCACCACTGGGGAGAGGGCAGCAGGCCAGCACTGTCCTGTGGGGAGGAGGCTTAGGTTAGTGACAAGGGTGCACCCTAGCAAAACTGTATCTCAGTAGATACCTGTATTCAGTGGTGACCACAGCTAAGAGTCAGACCAGAAGAGCTAGGATCAAGAGCCAGGATCAGACAGATGTTCACTTTCTACCTGTGCTCTGTATCCAGAGAGGACAGAAAGGCAGAACTCCTGTTCGTCCTCCAATCACTTGGCTTGAGCCAGCTGAACTCTACAGTTTCTCCTTCCTTCCCCATCCATGCAACCATCTCCTTATCCTTTCAGCAACAACTCAGATGTCACCTCTTCTGTGAAGCCTTCTGGCTTCTAATCCCTCCATCTTCTGGGCCTTTAACATGGCCTGAATAATCTACTACTGTCATGTTTGATAAGAGAAACAGGATACTATAAGAATTCAGGGTAGGGAATAGACCTTGTCCAATCAGGAAGTTGATGGAGAAACCCATGTACCTCTGTCACCTCCGCATCTGGTGTTAGGCCTGAAGTCTCTGTAAGCTGGTGAAGCCAGCAGTTGGAAAGGAAAGCCGACTGTGAAGTGGAAGACTTCTGTCCACTGTCTCCAAGCTCATTGACTCGGGAGACTTGCAGGAGAAGCTGGAGCCCTTTGCCACAGAGCTGAGCGTACACCCAACCCGGGACTTGGAGCAGCTGAAGGAGGTGATGCAGTAGGAACTGGGGAGCTGTGGGCCTAGGTGCTGTCCTGCACGCTAAAGTGAGCCAGCAGATCAGAGTGTCCAGAGGTATATCCTGCCACCATGCCCGGGATCCTGCCCTGTCCTTCAGTGGACCGGCTGCTACTTCACTTCAGCCTTCCAAATCTTGCAAAAAATTCTCCTGAGGTCAGCCCTCACCTGGAACTATCCAGGAAGGGACTCCTGGGAAACTCAGTTCCAGCTTAGCTACATGGACATGGCACAAAGCCATCACAAGCACGCACATCTAGTATGGTAATCTCTGCACCTCTGGCAGGTAAGAGCCAGACTGTGAGCTGTCTCCTGGGACCCAGCACAGCAGCTCTCAACAGATGTTCATTGACTCAACAGAACTATCTCCCCACCTCCCACTCAAACAAATGCTCAGGTTCTGTTCTGGGACTTTGGGAAATAGCCCAGTGTTTTCCCGAAGAGTGCGATTTACATAAAAGTCAATGGAGCTATTGTTAGAGGTTTTCTGTTTTTCTGGAGACGGTGGAGCTGAAACTGTCCTGGGGTTTTAAAGTATCCAGATTTCTTTCTTCCTCTCTCTCTCACAGATACACATACACACACTCAAACACTGAGTGGATTCAAACCCCAGAGGGTTAAAGAACACACCATCTAATATGCAAATATGCCTGCGCCAGATTTCGGAGGTGAGAACTCCAGGCTGACAGCAGGCAATTCACACTTCAGCAAAGGAGCAAAGTGCCTTAGGTGGTTTAAAAAAAACCTGAACAAAACCCCTTCAATGTCAGCAGAAGGTTCCAGAAGCTAAGGAAAAGTGCTCTTGGCTTTCTCTATAGATACAAATCCCTCACTGCCTAGGAGGTTGAGGACTTAGGTGCCAAAAAATAATTCCCAGATAAATGTCTATACTGATGTGTTGTGGTCCAATATTTTCATCAAATTAATCAGAGTGCTATTGCAAGCACGGCTCAACCACAGGAACTGTCCAAATGTACCTTTAGAAAGAGCTCTCCAAATCCTCCTGCAACCTGTTCCTCATAGTCTAAAATCCCTCTAGCAGAAACAGTATTTCATCCCGCCATGTTATCAAGAATCTACCCCATGCAATGTTTTTTTATCTTTTATAATGCTCAAGACAACTCTTCACAATAAGCATTGTTACCTCCAGTTTAAGATAAGGAAATTCAGATTCAAAATGTTTAAAATACTTGCCCAAACGCCTAACTGGTCTGTGAATGCTGAGATTTGAATCTAAGTAAAAGTGAAAAGTGAAAGTATTAGTCACTCAGTGGTATCTGACTCTTTGCAACCTCATGGACTGTAGCCCTCCACACTCCTCTGTCCACGGAATTCTCCAGGCAAGAATACTGGAGTGGGTACCCATTCCTTTCTCCAGGGGATCTTCCCAACTCAGGGATCTAGCTTGGGTCTCTTGCATTGCAGGCAGAATCTTTACCACCAGAGATACAGGGAAACCAAGTCTAACTCCAAAGTTTGTATTTTTCCATAATACACCTTT